ACTTTTCGTTCATTAACAATTTTCAAGTCCCCTAAAATGTTATTAGACCTTGAAGTTCATTTAAAATATACTCTCAAATCTATTTTAAATATCAAATTCTCTTCACTCTCCTGAATGCAAGCTTCCTTTCCACCAAAACTAGGTGGTATTATGTATTCTCCCATATCCTTAAGCATTTCAGCCTCTTTATCCCCAGTTGCTAAATTTCGATACACGGACTTAAAAACTATCGATTCACATCATACCGCAGCATTAGACCTCTAGAAAAAATTTTCTAATCCGCTCATATTCAAATTCTATAAGACAAAGAGGCTGGAATTTACCATTGATATAACATCGCGTCGAATACTCACACTTTAAGTCAAAGAAAATCTCCATCGCTCTTTCTCCACCTAAACCCAACTCCGATTATACAGAATGACAATAATACGACTCTTTTGCCGGATAAAATAATTCCAGCCTCGGTCATATTCCACCTTGGTTACGAATGGTAAGAAACTATACCTATTTCTAATGCTTGTTACTAACCAACGAAGAACTTAGAAGAGCCATAGGTCTTTGTTAAGGCTGTGAAATGGTGACGCCTACATCATATGTCTTATTATAGACTCATATCGATAGCCTTGGACACTTCCCCATACACTGTCTCAAAAGGCAGATTACCCAGGCACTATGCCATCAATTCGATCATCAATAGAATCTTTAAAAATATTCCTTCTAAACTAGAACCCTCTGGCCTCAGATTTGATAATCACCAGATCTAATGGAATGACGCTAGTCCCTTTGAATCAAGGGAAACCACTCGCTTGGGTTATACATGTGTGGATCACAATTTTTAAAATATAACTAGTTACAGTTATTTTTTAGAAAAAAAGTAAATAGTTACATTAACAACACTAGTTGGAAGTGGCCTAAGATTATTTTTATTAATTTGTTTAATTTTTTAAATTAAATTTTAAAATATATCTTGTTTGTAATTCTATTCTGCCAATCACATTGAAAAACAAATTTTCTGATAATCAACTAAATTTAGATAAATGAAAAAAACATTTACATTTTAGATACTATTTAATATAATTTAGTAAATAAGATTCTCTTTATTTATTGAAAGCAAATTATGCAATTACTACGAATATTAAATTATAATTATTCAATAAATGCAAATATCAAATTTTTAGATTAGAAATGTTTTAGCGTATTTTGAGTCTATTAACAGGTTTTTTTTATTTTATCTTTTTAACAATTAAGAGAAGCATAATGATACTTTTGAATGTATAACTAAATTGATAACTCTAAGTCAAACTCAACTTTTAGATTATTGAGCCAAATATTTTTTTAATAAATGGAGTTTAAGATTTCATATATTAAATTACCAAAAAGAATATTTTCTATAATAAATTTATATTTAAAGCTAATTCTAAATCGCGTGGAAATCGAAGATATATATATAAAACATATAATATTCATTTATATATAATATTTCCTGTAAGGCCTAGCTAAGTCCTGGAAGGTAATTGAAATGTGGCATATTTAAAAAAAATATAAATAAAAGTGTATCTCAAATAGTAGAACAAATATATTTAGTTAATTTATTATGCTAAATTAGTTTTTCCTAGCAAAAAACTATTTCCGAATGAAAAATAATAAATAGTAAAAATAAGATTTCGTAATAATTGATTGGAGACATTTCCAATGATGGGATAGAAAGGATATTGTTAACAAGGTAAATATATTAAAACGCCGATTACAAAAAAAAAATATCCAGATTGATAAATTTATATATATATATATTAAAAACTAATTTATAATAAAAACAATAAATGAATCATTTATTTTCAAAATGAAAAACACGCATGCATAAACAAAATATCCTCCATCTTAATTGAGTTAAAATATATATAAAATTAGTACGCTCAGAAATAAAAATAATAGAGCACTTCGCAAAGAAGTTATTTTATTAGGCTCCTTGTAATTATTTGACGCTCCCTGAGGCCGATGTTTCTGAAAAATCTTACCTGGGCCTTTCCGCAACCCGGTGATGTTAGTTACACTTCTGTTAAAGTTATCACACAATATAAATAAATTTATGACTAAGCTTAATGTGAAATATTAGTAAAGATAATTTAAACTAAGGCGCACAAATTGAGCGGGAGAGTTTTGCCGCATATTTTTCATTAAAAATCGTTAACACTACGTTTATACTAAACGGGTTATCTTGCGTTATTACATCTGATTTAGTCTTTAAAATTAATTTAAGATAAAACTAAAATAGAGATAATTATTTTATATAATAATTTAAGAAAAATCATATATCTTTGTATCGAATTCGCTATTATTTTTATAATCATATCGCATATTTTTTGTTAAAGCACCGCAAAATACGTTTTTCAAATTTTATCATAGCGTTATCAACTTAACGCTTACATTTTATATAACATTTAATTTAATTTACATATAATTAAACAACTAGAAATGTCATTTTTTAGTACCCCCCCCCCCCCCCCCATCATTGTTATTTATATAACAAGTTATTGCCGGCTTTCCTGTAAAAACAACTGATCTCTTAAAAAAAGGATCGCAGACCAACGGGCAAGATGTACGAATAAAAAATATTAAAACAAGAAAACAGTTTTGCGTTTTTAAAATGGCTTCTAACGCCATGATACCATTTGAAATAATTCAATTTTTTTTTAAATATCTTATTCCAAATAGAGCTGCAGCTTACCTAAACTTGGAAAAGTTGTGTTTGTTAAGCTACGATGATAATCTGAAATACGATTGTTATAACTTTTATAACTACAAAGCCAGAAAACGTCACTCAGATAGATCGTTTTAAAATATGCATAAGATATCACTTTTAAAATCGCTCAGCTGTTAAATCGATTTGGATCGGATCCCACTATGTATCCAACCTAATAATTTAATTTCTACAAAATATAAATGAAAAAAAAAATTAAATTGTATTCTGTGTTTATTGTGTTTATAATCTAATAGAATGTCGAAAATAAATGTCGAAAATAAATGTCGATAATAAATGTAATATAAATTATACATGTTACAATATAATATTGCTACACTAATATATGAAATTGCAGTCTAGTAGAAAAAAACCCATTAAATAAATAGATAACTTAAATTCTATTTATTTTAGAAAAAAAATTAAGAATGAATGCAGAAATTTTAGCTGTTAAATATAAAAGGCTGTAAAAATCACTTTTTGACTTCTTGGAGCTCCAAAATGTCAGAATTCTATAAAAAGGAATGAAGTGCGTTATGATTCATGACACATTTTGGACAAGCTTTTTAGTTACCTTACTAAATATGCCATCTGGACGTTTGTCATTCCTCATTTAAGGCCAAAGGGCTCCAAATTACTGGGAGCCTAAAATAAAAGTTGCCGATCAATCTATTAAGATTGTCATACATCAGAAAACGGTCGCTGACATTAAGACAAGATAAATAGTTGGATTCCAAATGGTTCTACCTCCTTACTAAAGATTTACAATGCCTGTCCAGTTGCCGACTGGGTGGCAACTTATTAAAATTTATTTACTGGGCCTGGTGGACACAAATTTCATACCTGTTTATTTTTGTGCTTAACAACATGTATTTAAAAATATAAACCCGACCCGGTTGGGCAACCTTACTGAAAAATTAGACCCGGGTAGGCCGATAATTTTAGGAGCAGACCTCACAAATTCCCACCGAGCCAGACCAGAGAATTTTGACATTTGCAGACCTTCACTGCTTACTACAGGTTGAACAAGTGTCAAAAGAAGGAATAAGACAACCTAGCCTATGTCAATGGTGATTTAGAAATCGTTGTACGTAAGTATAAAATAATCTCCTTTTTTTCATTGTAAATTATGCCCAACTATTTCCTAAGTAATTGAATACAGGTACACAGTAAAACATGGAAACTAGGAAGCTCTTTAAATGGATAGAAATGGGATAATCATATCCTATGAGAACTAAAGAGACTCAGAATTATTTGGCCTAATTTGTAAATCACTTAACTAAACGAAGAAATTATAGACAAATTTATAATATTAATACTATCAATACCGATCAGAATGTAGTTGTTCTTTCCCTTAAATTAATCAAACCCAATCTTAGTTCAACAATGTTTGGAAATACACTTTAAAAACAATTTATAATCATTAGATATTGAGAAATATTAGTGAATAATTTCGCCAAAATGAAATTGCGCAAAAAAATAATATTAACAATATTCTTGTTAGAACAAATGATTTATTGCTTACAATTTTTTTAATTTCTATAAGATTTAATTTATGTTTTAAAATGTGTCCCATTTAGTCATTTAATAAAAAGAAAATAAATTACTTACTTAGAAATTTTCAATAAAGGACACCAATACAGCATGTTGAGTCACGTTGGAGATATATTCTAGCGTTGACTGTGCAAGTGTTATCTTTTAAATTATGGATTATTTTTTAACTATAAGAATGAAGTGGTGGAAAGAAAAATAAATAAACAGTTGTATAATGAAACATTTTTTGATATTACCTTACTGAACATATTTTTAAAATACTGGAAAATTGAGGAATCCTTATAGCATCAAAAATAAAGATACATTTCAGATTTATCCATAAAAGAAATGTCCGAATCGCTACGGGTTACCTGCAAAAATTATGTATTGTCTGTCATTTTTGACGAGTAAGCTGCTAGTAATATTAAAAATAAAGTATCCAGCGAAAAGTAAGATATTATAAACTTAATAAATTGATATCCATTTTTTTTTTAAAATTAGAATATTTGACATTTGAGTAAGTAATATAGGTTAAAGTTAAATATCGAAAAAAAATGAATTCTCTGATTTTATTCATATTTGCCTTGATTGCAAACGTAGCTTAAATAAAAATCCATGAAAATTTAAAAGAAAACAACAAGTCATTGAATAAATAAAGGAATAATTTTATAATAAAGTATAGAACGTAATATATTTTTATTTTTGCACCGACTTAATAAATTGATATCCATTTTAATTATAATATTAAACATTTGATAAAATAATTAGTTTAAAATTAAATAGTTAAGATATGAATCTTCTGATTTTATTAATATTTACCTTGAGCTGGACTATTCACCAATTTTATGGTAAGTATATTTTTGATTTTTATTAATTAATAATTTAAAATACATTATATAAAATTTTTTTTGTTGTTAAATGACATAAATTTAAAATTTTCAAGTTTAATTATTATTTATAATATTAAATTTTGTTTCAATTTCTATCTTGAATTATTAGAGACATTATGTTATTTGCGATCTGGACAGGTTCATATATTTGATCCGGCCCAGGTCGGATAGGTAATAGTAAATTTAATAAATCTGGGGTTTAAAGATGTAAATAAATTAGAAATCTATACAATAAGTTTTTAATTATATTAATTTATGGTCGGAAAATAATTAATATAATGGGTCATTTACCATTTATTTGCTGCTTACATTTAAGATCACTTTAAAATAATTTTTAAAATTAAAATACACCCGAAAATTTTCAAACATTGGAGTTATATAACAACTTCTTCATATATTTTAAGCAAATTGAAATTAAAGGAAATTTACAATATTTCTCATAAATGTGAATAAATAAAATTTTAATAATTTATTGTATTATGTTTTTTATATAGTTTAAATTAAATTTATTTATTATGAAAAGAAATTTTTTAAAACCTTTGTAAATGTTACACTTGTAAAAGTTTCCAGTGTTTCGTTCGATATCCTTAAAAATTAATTTTCTAGTAATTACTATCGAAGAGATAGTGGCTACAATCTCAGGTAATTCGTTTTTTTAGCATAACATGGTTGAAAAAATGATCAAGGGGCTCAAGCCCCCCACCCTATTCTAGTGACGTTATTGCGAAGAGATAAGAATAATAGTAAAAAAAAGTTATTATTTTCCTGAAAAAAAATTTACGAAATTTATGATCTTGTGTAAATATTTACTAGCAAATTTCTTGGAAATTTAAACTATAATTTTGATAAGATTTTTTTTTTTTTAAATTATTCGAATATAAAACAAACAATATTCTAAATGTAATATGGAGTCAGCATTTAATATTTTAGTTTAAGATATTAAATATATCATACAAAAATTAAATATATCATACAAAAATTAAATTCATATGGCAAATGTTAGCTTCTTTGCGATATATCTACAAACTAGACTTTCAACCTTATATACTGTGAGCTAGTGATGCAAAATTGCCCTACTCACGCCGGCTCAGCCTTGAGCACAAGCCAAAAAAATTTGTTAAGGCTTGGAGCTCGAGTCAAAAAAATTGGCTTAGTTTTGACTCGAAATCTGTGTATTATCGCTCAAAATTGAAACTTAATCAATAATTATACTTTTATTTTATATTTGACTATTAAGAAATAAGGATTGGTATAGTGTTGTTTTTATTTTAAATTTCTATGGAAAATACTGAAAATAAACATAATTTTGCGTTTTTCTAATTTTTCTGGTTTGAATTCCTGTTCTTAAATTTATTGGAGTGAAATGAGTGTCATTATACAATAAAACGGGTACTTCCTTCCTAATAAACAAATAAGAACTGTGTCTCTTATGCAATTACTTAAGGAATTTTATTTTTTAAAACAAAAAATTATTATTATAAAATATAATTATTCTTGTTTTTTGTGAAACTTTTAGTTCCATATCTTTTATCATAGACTTATTTTAGCATAGACTGCTCAACGCCCAATTTTATAGTGTTATAAAAACATCGTTCATTTGACAGCCATTTACAAAGATCCTTCATTTTAATAAATTTGTGTTTATAATGATTTTAACGTTAAATATTTCAAGTATTTATGAAATTTTTCTTAAATCGCATATAAATATAAATTAAATAATATAAAATAATTAATAATTTTTTAAAAATTCATATTTTAATGAATGTATAAATTAAATATATGTATATATTAAACAATTTTTATAATAATAATATATAATAAGAAAATAATGTAACAAAAAAATTGCTTCAAGATGGAGCATTTTTAAAAAAATTTGATTTGTATATTTTTTTTAACAAAAATAGCGGTTTATACAACAGAATATGAATATATATTTTATAATATAAAATGACATAAATTTAAAATTCATTTAAAAGTTTTTTGCTCAGCAAAAATAAGGATGTATCTTTTCCATACGCATAGCATTTATTTATATATTTTTTGCTTTTACTAATAATTACATTTTGATTTTAGACATAACCTTATAAGTTGTTTTAAAAGTTATTCTCCATCTATAATTATCAGAGACTTACAAACCCGAAATCCAGAATAGCTTATATATTTCCAGTCTGGTTATCCTTGAGTGGCACTAAAATACATTTCTTTCATTTTTTTAAAATCCAAGTTGAGCTTTAAATAAAATTATAAATAACAAATTCAGTCTGAAATCTTTGAATATATATTCAATTAATTAGTATGAAAATTGGATCATTTAAAATTCATTTACTGTGCATATTTTCAATATCCCTACAAAATGATGTACAAAATATACAACCTAAATTAATTTTAAAATGACCAAATTTAAAAATCTGGGCCGAATCTTAGAAAATTGGATAATAAGATTTATATTTTTTTTAAGAATATAAACCTTTTATCATGCTTTCTTTAAAATTTTAAAAACTCAGAATTAACAAATAATATTCGATATAAAAATATACAAATTAAAAACATTTAATATTTTTTTTTACTGAATTAAATTCAAATTATATTAAACAGTTAAGGAAAAAAATCCTTAAAATAAATTCCCAAGTTTATGAATAAACTCCTATCAATTCCTGGATTGGTTATGATCAATTCCAAATTAAATGGTGAGAAAATCTATTTGGCTATATCTTTAATAAATTACTTGGTTGGAAGTGACATAAGATTATTTTTATTAATTTGCTAAATTTTTTAAATTAAATTTTAAAATATATCTTGTTTGTAATTCATTTCCGCCAAATACCTTGAAAATCAAATTTTCTGATAATCAATTTAATTTAGATAAATGAAATAAAAAACATTTTAAAATTACTAATATAATATAATAAATAGGATTCTCTTTATATATTGTTAATACTCTTCAAAATTTTTTTATAATAAAATGTAATATTTTTATATTAAATTCCAAATAAATAAAGATCTAGCCCTACTCCCTTCGATTTTTTAAAATTCTATGATGATAGATATTAGAGACCTGCAAATCACGGCCCACTCGTATCCGACCCTAGCTCCGGTCTATTTTTAAAAAATAAAATTGGTTTGGGCTGGTCAGCCAAATATTTTTTAAAAAATTTCAAGTCGGGTCCGGGTTTAAATTTTTAAATATGATATCTTTATATTTTGTCAAATAAATTGAAATATATTTTAAAATTTTTGCAAATACTAGGCTCTAATATTTTTTATTTATAGAATATTAATATTAAAAAAGAGTTTAATTTTACCCAACTTACTTCCTGTAAATATGTCCGACTTTGGAAATAGGCGAATTTGAAAATACACTATTTCATTTTTAATATTTCTAATAATAAATATCAAATTGAGTTTTATTATATAACTCTATAATAAATCAGCCCATTACCAAAAACCGACATTAGTGGTCATAAGAAGAAAAATATTTTATTTTCTTAAATATTTTTTTATAGATAAACATTACAGTGTTGTGATGATTTAATGAAACATATTGACGATTAAATTAAAACCCATCCATATAAAATTATAATCTTTGCAAAAATAATTAAAATATAGACAAAGAATTATTGAAATTTCTTTTATTATTCCTTTTGTTATTTTAATTATTTTTGCAAAGATTATAATTTTATATGGATGGGTTTTAATTTAATCGTCAATATGTTTCATTAAATCATCACAACACTGTATACTTCCTCATATTTTTGCAAATTCTTGGCTAAAATCGTACTTAAATCTTTCATTTATATTGAAAATATAAAATAGTTTTTCAAATTTATGTAAAAATAAATATAAAATTTAGATAAGCAGAAAAATAAGTCAGTGAGACAATATGGCGTATTTATGAGATAGAACTTGCTATTATATTTTACTAATAAAAAAAATTCTAAAAATTGCTTGTTCGAATGGGAAAATAATATTATAAAATATAAATTAAATAATATGATATGATATAATAAATAATCTAATAAATTTGAATATATTTTGAATGTCATTTTTTTTCCATTCTGGAAATTTGTTTAGCTGTTAAAATTTATTTTCGAGATGTGCTTCCATGTTTAAATATTCAACCCTTGCTACAAATATATTATAAGTCCCCTGGATATTAATTTACACATAATTATATAAATCCAAGGTTGTTATTGTTATAATATGATTTCCATAAGGACGGTACAGGCTTGCTTTAGGCGCTAACCTCTTAGTGATGCCCATTAAACGATCACAAAAAGTTTTGCAATGTGCAGTTGCTAAAAAATGTCATTCTACCTTGATTCCAAAATTCTTATGGTCTTTGGGGTTTATGAAGTTTTATTTGTTTTTATACTAGAAAATAAAAAATTATTGAAATCTTATAAAAACTTAAGAAAATTATCAATTTGAACTAATTAAAATGCACAAATATTCGGGTTATAGACAATCGAATATAACCACATAACTTATAACATGTTTGAAAATATAATTCTAAATATTCATAATTTAAATGAATATTTTTTGTTAATATAGTGCAAAACAAAAAGTTTTTTATTATTTTTTTACATTAATCTAAAAAAGAACTAACTAACTAAAATCTATTAAAAAAAAGAAGATAATATCTTTTATATTAAATAGATTAAATAAAAATAAAAAGTATCAAAATATATTACAAAAACAATTTAAACAAAAGCAAGGTTACAGGCTAAAATAATCGTAAGTTTCCATCAACATATTAAATGAGGCTATATTCAAATAATATCAAAGTTATATAAAATATCAATAAAAATTTTAATATAAAAAAAAATCAATTTCCATTATATAACAGTATCTATTTTATTTATTTCAAAAAATAAGGCCACCCCTGATAATCGTTTGCCACCCCTACTGAGAATTCCTGGCTATGGGTTCGGCTTGTTCCCCTTTCTTATTATTATAAACAATGTTAATTAACTATTTAAGTCTGTTTTATAAAGTTTTTTCTCTCAAAAATTTAACATATTTTCCAAAAATAAAATGCTCTTTATTTATATATTTTTTAACTTATAATAGTAAATGTTTAAATGTGATATAATTTTTTATTTATCGAATATTTTTAAATTTATAAATGATATTCACATCTAACAATCACATTCAATTTTTTAATAATGACGCATGATTTCATATTTAAATGATCTAAAATCGTCAACATTAAGTTTAAATAAAACAGCTATGAATTAAATTATTCATTTTGTTTTTAGCACAAGTGAAGTATGAAGACGAAAGTAAAATTAATTTATTATTAATAGATGATTTCATATTTATATATTTAATATGACTTAAGAATTAAATTATAGTTAACTTGGGTTATTTTAAATCAATTTATGAATGATTCACAGTCACCGTTGGACTAATCCAATTTAACGAGATTATATTATCTTTTATATCATTATGTAAATAAAAATTATATTAGATTTTAAGTTAAATAAAATGAATCAGAAAATAAATATCAAAACAGAATTTATTCTATTTTGTTTGTAAAAAAATATTTTTCCTCAAAAAGTATATTAATGTACTAAAATTCTTTTATGCAATAAAATTTTAACAATTTTCAAATATAAGAATCTCCTGACTTATCCCAAAATTTTGAATCTTTAAACACATACATAGCTCTTGCCTTAGATGTCTTTAATAATACTCCATTCCGTTAAACCTACCTCTCATATAAAAAATGTTGCTGATTTACTTTTCTCAACCAACTCGAGGTAAATCCCATTTCAATCATCCTTAAAGCTAAGATGGGCAACAAATGGCTTGAATGCATCCCATGCGTAGCTAAATCTTCATTTTATGGAGTTTTTTTCTGTAGAATAATTTATTATCCCTATGAGATTATCCTCTGGTCCTAACATACACTGTTACTTTTTCTACCTGCATTGATTATGCCCAAACTGGCAATACAGGCACCCCCCCCCCCCCTCCCCCCACTCCACCCTTCTTTTAAATATATTCTCGCTGTCGTTAACTCCGTCACATAGCAATAAGAATCTCTTTAGGACCTTAAGGTTTTACTTTGGAACCAATAGGCATTTTCATTGGGGGTTTCAAATGAACAGACGATGTTACCCTAAAAATCTGATTCAATGGTTTTTCCCTGGCATGGTTACTAAACCTACATAAATCTGAGAATAGTCCATTAATTTTTTCAGACATTATTTCATATCAAATACTTATAAACAACAAATATTCAGACTTAAACAAGCAATTTTCTATTTATCTCCACCAATATACTTTAGATGGGCGATGAGCCGCTTCATGGGGAAAAATAACAACCACCAATACTTAAGATCAAGATGAGCAGATTTTCTTCCTCCATAAGATCTATTTTGAGATTTGTCTAATTAACTCAGCATCTACTCAATCCTATTTCCCCTTTTATTAAATAAATTTATTTAAATCTCTATAGTATACGTTATTTTTGTCATTCTTTTAGTAATATTGTTTTTCCATCATATACTCATCCATTCAAAATTTTGAGTATATTCTCTATTTATAAATTAACCATAGTATTGAAGATCATATTATTTATTTAATTTAATATTGTATTGTAGTTGAGAAAAAAAAATATTGCCTTAAAATTAAAATGATAGGAAATGAATAATCCTATCAATTTATTACGTTTTAATAAGCTTAATTAAATGTATTCGCTTCTCTAATTTAGTAATGTTAATTGAATTTGCTTAAACATATTTCGTGATTTAAATATATTAATTTTTTTTTATAAGCTATTTTTGAGAGAAGGTGGAAAAATATATAAGCGGAATATTTTCATAAAGTATATTCTTAAACTAGGAAAAGTTATTAAATAGTCTAACAGCATTCCATAGATTTTAGAATTACTATTGAAAAAACTTAAAAGTATTTTGATATTTTTTTATAATATATTCCTATTTCATATTTCCAAGTTTTTAAAATATAAACCTTATATTTTGCTGAAAAAATAAAGTAATATAAACTCCGAAGAAATCTTCTATAATTCTTTTTCCGTATTGACTAACTATTTGCCAATTCCATTCTGAATTAATATTCGATTTTTTTGAAACTTTTAATAAATTGTATAATTAGTGGCTCAATTTTAATTCATAATTATTTGTAAGATATAAGACTCCCCAAAATTCATTCAAAAATCCGGTTTAGCATATATATAAATATAAATTGTGTATCGGGATTACACTGGTATAATTGATCTTTTAACCTTCATTTTTTTTTAAAACACAGTAGAATCAAAATGATTTAAAATGAAATATTTTAAAGATTCGGAAGGTTTAATATAAAATAAGGACAGGTTAAACGATAATCCAATCCGGGCATTAAAATTGAAATTTTTTAAAATCCATAGTTTCGTTAGTCGCCGAAACTTGAAAATTTTTCGGGTTTTATTTAAAAAAAGAATTATTAAATTTTGAATGAATTTATTATTATTATTTTTAGTATTAATATATTATTTAATATGATTATACAATATAAATTTTATTAAGAATCATTATCTTTTTTTATCTAATCACTTTAACTAGTCTCTGTACAAGGTAAATATTTAAAATACCCTAATAATATAAATATGAAAAAGTGTTTAAAATACTAGTCATTGAGAGTGAAGAACATAGAGGGGATGAGGGTAGTTATAGGATTTGGCGCACCGTTCAGATTATGTGGATTAGCCGGAATTAGGTGGACTGTGGCTATTGAGGGCGGTAGACGGAAATTGACACGTTAGTTTATGTTCTAGACGGAATTGGACTACATAATTTTTATTAACATAATTAGTTAAAAAATAAATATTTTCCAAAGTAAAAAAACGTTGCAAAATTTAAAAAATAAGAAAAATGTTCAAAGATTCATATACACAAACAATCCTGAAGTTTTAATCGATTTGTATGTGCTCCTATTTAAGCAAATTGTAATATCACAAATTTGGAGGGATTTTTATGTTTTTTTCAAACAACCAATAAGGAGTCTTATATTTCTCAATTGAAATATGGTAGTACATGTTGTTATATATCACAATTTACAAAATGTGAAATTGAATAGTTGTCTATCACTTTCAAATTTTTGTAAGGCTATTTAATGTAAATATAAAAAAGGGGGGGGGGGGGCAATTAAAATTTAATGGATAATTTTGACTAAAAAAATGGGAGTAAATAAAATAAAATATGATAACACAAGAATCCTTCTCCGTTTAACCTAGGGGGAAGAGATGAGGGTTCGGCCTCGTGTGACACTAGTATATTTTCCCCCGTCTTTGTAGCAAGATAGGTACACGTAAAATTTACATCCGTGGATCTTGGGGAAAGGACAAAAAAAATAGGATTGTACTGCTCTTTATGTAAAAACTACGTGAGAAAAGATAAAAATATTATAACCAAATATTGTATACTTGCTAAGAGTGAATCAATATATTTTTTCTTTATAAAATATGTTTTCACTATAAAAAGGATGAAAAATACAAATAATCATTATATAAAAATGAAAACTATTACAAAGATAATGTTGAAATGTCCTGTTTTAAATTATAAGGGCTAATTATTTGGTACTGGGTTGGTACAAAAAATTAAATTTCGAATCGAAAACGAAAACGAAAAAATAGCATCTAAATATTTTTAGATTAGCAATTTAATTTCCAAGTTCCAATATATAATAAATTTGAAATTATTTTTAAGATGTTATCAATTTCTCTCTGAATGTATTTGCAACAAAAAAATAGATACTTAAAAACAAAAAAAAAATTAATATCACCTTCTAAATTCATTGTTACCATTTTAAGTTATTTTTGGAATATTTATTTCGAAGATATTTAATTTAGAATCTGTCTGGATTATGACAATTACAGCACTATTGGTTATATATAATTTCTTAACAGGATTTTGCTAAGGTAGGTGAGGGGGGGGGGGTGACCCAATTTATTTGAGTTTTCCATGTTTATTGAAAGTTTTAGGTATTCATTATAGACCCTTTAGCGAAGTTACATTTTTTAAAAATTATAACTTTTACTTATTATTTTCAAATTGGTTTATAGTGTTTTAGCATGTACATATTTAGGGGAGATAAGGGTTAGGGGTATGTGGGTGAAAATTTTAATTAGCTTAAATTAATTTTTAGAAAACCGGAGAGCTTCGAGGAAGGGGGGGGGGGTTGTAATTTTTGCTTGTTTTCCTTTTCTTGGCTATGACTGGGCTATTTATTTTTAATAATTATCTAGTAATTTATATTCTTGTTATATATTATATTAAACCTATTTAATATCAAATATTAATATAAAAAATTAGGTTCAGCCGTTCCGAGTAAATATTTATAATATCTTAATCATCCGATAATGTTTACAATTAATATGATTATTTTCTGTGAGCATAACATGTTCTATTTTCTTTAATTATTTGAATTCACTCTCAATGGATAAGAAATAGATATCTAACTTACCATTAATTTATTTTAGCTATTTAATCTTTATTATAATTAAATTTAGAAACTACAATTATAAAGATACTATTGAATTGTCTAATTCAGACTCATGACAAAAAATTACATCATTTTAGTTAGAGGAATTTATTTGAAGATTAAAAATAAATTACCCCCTTTGTATCATGTTTCAGTTACTGCTTTTTGATATATAAAATAAATTTTATATAAAATAAATATAAAAATAAAAAAAAAATCATTTTCATTTAAATTACAAAAATAATATAAATTGAGTTTTTATAATAATTTTTTTTGAATATAAATTTTATTGGCTATTCCTTAAGAGTTAAATAAAAAAGAACCAGAAATAAATATAAATATAATTAATAAAATATCATCCCATAACAGAATTTTATATATTTTATATCGAAAAAAAAAATTCTCCTCAAAAACTTAACATACCAAAATTCTTTTATGCAATAAAATCTTAACTGATTTTTAAATATAAGAATCTCCTGATTTCTCCCAAAATTTTGAATACGCCTTTCGAAAATGCATACATAGCTTATTCCCTGGATGTCTATAACAAAAATTATACTTCATTTCATGCCCACCTAAAAAATGAAAGAAATTTTTTCTTTTTCGTTTATTATCTTTTACGACCCACTCGAGGTAAAGCCCATTTTAATATCTTTAAAGTCAGAGTTGTTAAACGCTACTTCTAAAAGTGGCGCGCTACCGCTATCGCTATTTGTCAAAAAAGTAGCGCCTATTAGCTACTTTTTATAAAAAAAATTAAGAAACAAATTAATTTTATTTTTTGCTTATAATGTAATTGCATAGTAAATATATAAAAATCAACATTTATAAATATTAAAATATATTTAGTTTTGATTATAAAAAAATTAATGTAATAAAAATAAATATTTATGGTAATTTGTTGCATTTTATAAGTTTTTACCTTCTGTTATGTGTCAAACTATTTACCGTGGTACATATATATGATATCTCTGATAACTCTACTATTAGGGCATCTTTCATCACTTTAAAGTTATCTGCTATATTGATTCTGTATCCATTATAAAATCAACAATAACTTTATCAGCCAATTTGTGAGATATATTGGCATTTGTATTATTAATTAATTTGGTTTAAATCGAATTAGTTTTTTTGGATGTAGAGTCGTCAATACCAAAATTATTTAGATGTTTCTCCATTTCCTTAAAACTATTGGCGTGAACAGTCTTATAAAATAAATACTATTAGAATGTAAAAATGACAATTTACCTTTAGGTGTTTCTGGAGGTTGTAGCTACTAGATTGATTTGAAGAAATATTTTTTTTTACATTTTAAACAATTAAATTTGAAGCCAGTTTTTGTTTTTATATTTATTTAAACAATTTTTTCAAATCTAGGGAATGAGCTATTAAGAACATTTTCTTACCCACTGTTATTCTACCTACATCTACTACGCCCAAGTGATAGCAAGGTCGTCAACTCCGTCATATAGCAAAAACAATCTCGTTACAAAGTTTCAATAAAACCAATATACCAAATACTTTGGAACCAATATATCTTTTCATTGGTAGTTTCAAAAGATCACACAGTGATCCAATGGTTTTACTATTGCATCGTTACTAAACTTGCATCAATCTCGGCCTAGTCCAATAATTTTTATCAAACATTATCTCACATCAAATCCTTAAAAATAACAAATATTCAAACCCTAAACAAGCGATTTTAGTCCTAATCGCTAGCAATATACTTTAGAAAATTTCAGCGGTGAGGTGCTTTATTTATAAAGATGCGAGGAAAAATAACCACTATTTTTTTTAGCCATCCTTTTAGTAAATATTGATTTTGAATATGTGTATGATGGGCTCTCATGACTAGTGTTGTTAAACGGCTCGTTTTGAGCCGATTTTTAAAAACGACTAACTCACTACTTCATCCAGAAAAATTTTACGTATGTCTGAAGATTCCGCTCATAGAAAGAACAAAGGTCTAGACATATATTATCAAAATCTTGAGGCTTAAGCAATATTTTTCTGGCTAAAAGATTGAATTAGCCGTTTTTAAAAATCGGCTCAAAACGAGTCGTTTTACAACACTACTCATGACAGGTGAGAGAATTGATATGAACGCGCAAATGGCAAGTAGGGTGGACGACCTTATGCCAATGCCACAGGGATTGGTTGGTTAGTTAACCTGTAAACAAGATAGATCCCCAAATTAATAATTATCTCAAAAAAAATTATGAAATAAAAAAAAATGTATAAAAATTAATGTGTTTGTTTTTTCTACAAAATAAAAAAAATATAATGAACCTGATCTTCCCAATTTTTTTAAAAAATAATAATTTGTTGCCGGCTTCTGAATAAAAAATAGGGATGATTAAATAAATGGAAATGCTACTTTCAAAAGTTATACATTCACCAGATATGAAAATTTGATATATATTAGCACTTATGCATCGCTGTTCTGTCTATGGGAGCATATTTCTCTTATTTTGGTTTGTAGGATGGGATAATACTGGTTGGTTCTGTTAAGCCTTATTTGTCGATTTTTATTTATGTTTGTTGGTGACGCAAGGTTCATTTTTGTGCATGCTGGATTGTGACTTAATCCAAAAGTTAAGGGCCAAGATCTACTTTATTAAAAAAATGAAATCTGACGTTTATCATTGTGATTAAAACTCTATTCATAGAGATGGCAGTATTTGCCTCTTCTTTATCTACGTGTTCAGACCTTAATGCCGATCTAGAAAAATGGAAAGGCTATTCTAACAAATATTTTGAAACGTGAAGGTCTTGTTTCACGTCGAGAAATTTTATATGATCAGTTTGTAATCCCAAAGTTCATCGATAACAAACTTATATTGAGAAAATTTACTAGCAGCATTAATCTTATCGGCAAATTCACTAGTTATTTGAAGCTCTTTTAATAATCAAATAGAAAACGTTTAGATAGTCTTAACCTGTTCAAGCGTAAGGTTTTAGTTCTACCGAATATGGTAATATGTATGTTTTAACAAATCCATATACTGCCATGGAGTAAAAATATGTCTTCCAATTGAGTCGATTAAATTCATATTTTTTATGCTAAAACTTGCATGACTCATCTAAAAATGATAATATAATCACTATTCATTTGTAAGCACATAATAACCACTTTGGGGTGACATATCGATTTGGAATTTAGGAATATGAAAAGAAGTCAAATTCGTATAAATACAAATAATGCGTTTCGATTTATAAGAATATTAAATTATTCAATTAATGCAAATATCTAATTATTAGATTAAATAAGTTTTAGCGTATTTTGTGATTATCATAGTAACAGGTCATTTTTTTTATCTGTTTAACAATTAAGAGAAGCATAAATAATAAATCACACTTTTTATATATAGGGTCTAAGTTGATAACTAAGTCAAAAATATATAAGTATCCTCACATCTTTTGATTATTGAGCAAAATATTTTTTAAAAAAAGATATAAGTAAGGTTTTATTTTATATTAAATTGCCACAATAAAATATTTTCCATAATAAATTTATATTTAAAAGCTTTCTATGACAATCAAAGGTATATATATATAACATATAATATAATATATATAATTTCCTGTAAAGCCAAACTAAGTTTCTGGATAGTAATTTAAATGTCGCATTATTTATGGATTTTTTTTAAAAAAAAAACATGTATAAGTATATATCGCAAATGGTAGAACAAAATTATTGAGTTAATTTATTACACCAAAATAACTTTCCTAGAAAAAATACCTATTTTTACTCTAAAAAATAATAAATAGTGCTAATAAGATTTCGGAATAATTGATTGCCGAGACGTGTCCTAATGCATTTTCGTTAAAAAATAAATCATTTATATAAGTATTTATTTATTTAAAGATGGGATAGCAAAGATATTGTTAACAGGGTAATATTATTTTATGTATAATAATTCTTTTATATATTCTTAAATTAATTAAAATTTCTTAAATATTTTTTAGGAATTATATTCTATTTTTTAGTCTTATTTACTTTATATATTGATAATTAACAAGTAATCAAATTTAAATATTATGGGCATAAGGCCTATTAATACGATGATTACAAAAAAAATATCCAGATTGATAAATTTTTAAATAATTAAAAACTAAATCATATCTTTTATTTTCAAGTTAAAAAAATAACACTCATACATAAAATATCTGCCATCTTGATCTTAAACATTTAATAGTGAAGTATAGGAGTCCTCCACAAATAAAAAGGGGCTCCTCGTAATTATTTAACGCTCACTTGAGGCCCATGTATCTGCAAAAATCTTGTTTTTCTGCAACACGGTGGTGTCTGTTACGCCTCTGTTTAAGCTAACAAATAATATAAATAAATTATGACTAACCTTAATGTGAAAAATTAGCGGTATTCTTTTAAAAAGATGGTTATTAATAAGGCACACAAACTGAGCGGGTGCGGTTTGCCGTATATTTTTAATAAAAAACATTTACGCTCCGCTTATAGTAAACGCGTTATCTTCAAATATTGCTTATTTAATGCAGCATCATTACAACCTGATTCAGTTTTAAGAACTAATTTAAGATAAAACCAAATTAAATTTTATATATTATTTAAGAGGTAAGACCGAATTTGCATGATACCATTTGAAATGTATTCTATATTTATAAAAATTAGTTTGATCCAAATGCCGCAGCTTTTAATATGGTTAAAAATCTTATGATCGGTGTGATAAGTCACAATGAAAGTAGGAAATGCTCATATTACCTGATTTATAACTACCTATATTTCCTGCCAAAAACCGTCATTCAGGTATTAATTATACCTTATAAATATTCATGATAAATTTATTATATAATTATAAATCTATCTTAAATATTTCTTGTATTTGTTAAATTTCATCAAATTTCTTTCAAAAAAATAAATTATTTTCTTTCTTTTCTCTATCTTTAATTTTGATTTTCTTATAAATTTATTTCTGTCAAACGTATTTTACTCCTTCCAAACTGTAACTCAAAAATTCACGGAAATTGTCATAAATTTACAAAGTATTTTTACTGTTATTCAATTTCTCCTCCAAAATATCAGATTTTCAAATATTTTGCCAGAATTAGGATCCAGTCTGGGTATAGTATATTCCATACATATTTCCGACAATCATCTTTTCATGCAATATACACCTATCCTATTATCTGTTTTCCAATTATATAATATTAATAATTACATCACATTTTGATAAAATTTTAAATTATTTAAAAATTCAAAAACTAGGTAGAAATTTTGAAGGTGGGAGAAAAACTCTATATTAAGGAATATTACGATGAATTTTGTATGTTGAAGATAGGCAATGGAATACAAAAAATTAATATCACAAACACAACCGAGAATTCTCAACATATAATTAACGTGACCACTTTCGAGATACCACTAAACACATTTTTTACTATATCTAGTTTCATTATATTATTATTATTATTATTTTGAAATATTAATATAATTATGTTTGTGCGAAGCCGAAGTTTATGAGTTAAACTAGATCTTATGAATAATTGAATGATTTATGTTAGAAATAATAATTTTTGATTAAGAAATTTAATATTATGTTTTAAAAATAATCATTTTTTTAAAGGAAATCATTCAATATAATTGTAATTTTTATTAAGTTTATATATTTATTAATCACAAAGAGAGTGGTAGACTGTTAAAATCTTACATAGATCATAATGATGCTTGTGACCTGATTGTATCACTCGATATATACAAATATGATGTATATATATCGGGGTTTTTATTCAAGTAATAATAATTTAACATCTGATTAGAAAATTAATAACCATGTATTATACATATTTAACTATTAATCCAGTAACGTACCCTTAGAAATAACTGAAAATGCGATCTTGGAAATTTTCAAATCAAACCCCATCACAGGATATTTAGAGGATGTTGTGCAAACGAACAATTTTTTTTTATAAAAATTACAGAGCAGCAAGATAGATGGTATTAAGTGCAGTTACCAAATTAAAATGAGCCATGCGAACGTAATTGCAAAACCATATTTAAATAAATATACTATATGGCTAACTTTCTATAGCAGTATACTTATTTTTTTTATTCATTTTTACGTGCTGTTAATCAAATATTCGAGTAAAATTAGATAAATAAAAAAAACACTATTTAACAATTTTTTCAACTTTAAAAAAAATAATAAAATAAATATAATTAGTTGACAGTGAACGTATCAAAACCCTCGAAACACGCGGGAAATTATCAATTGAATACCGTGATAATATTTGATATAGATAACCCAGAAAAGGATATCAATTTAAATGTCCATACGATTGATGAGGTCAAATATAGATAAATTATAACAAATTATGTTTATAAATATTTAATTTGTTTGGAAAAGTAACAGAGTAAACATAATAATCATTTTTTGAAGTAATAAATTTATCTGTTGATTTCTTCTTAATATTAATTTATATATTCTTTATTTTTGAAAATCACTTTAAGGGAATAATTATCCAAACCTCATTTGGAGTAACGTTTAACAGTACTAAACACTTGATTAATGGATCGATTATTCCAGAATCAATTTTCTATCGCAGGCATGTGATCGCTATTATCGAAATTTGGATTTCAGAAGATAATACGTATCAATTTACTTTGCCGAAAGATTTTTACATCCATATACAAAGACAATTCAAGAATTGTGATCGGTGTGTATAAAGCAGCAAACGTGATATTCAACAATTTCCTTTTAATCAATTTTAAAAGATTGGAAACTAAATTTTAATTAATTTTTTTTAAAAAATGGGGCAATTTTTATTTTTATTAATACAATAATCTTTTATTTTAGTATATTATAATTATTATGTATTCAATAAATTGTTTTGAGGTGCTCATCAGGGGCAAATAAAGTGTTAAAACGGGGGTCACTATCCTTTACAATATCAGGGGGCTCAAAAAAATTATTTTATTTCAATTGGTATAAAAAAAAATCAAAATTTTTCAGAGGGCTCGAGCCTATAGGTCTTAAAGTCAGTATTTGGCAGCCCGAGCCTGAACCGAGCCCGAATTTAAAAAAACATGTTTGTCCGAGCTCGATCCGAGCCCGAGTACACATTTTTAGTCCAACCCGACCCGAGCCCGAATAAAATTTTACAATTAGAGTTTGAATATAATAATAACCAAAAAAAATGTATGTGCATTTATTCATCGCCACCTTAAATAAAAGTTTATTTGATGGCCATAATCTAATCAAGATATATATTAAGTTGCATTTTATTTAATTTGTAAAAAATATTATAAAAATTATAAAAAAGTTAAAATACAATCGAATTTAAAAATATGCGATTATATAAAAAAAATATCATGATTTATGTCGAATGTAAATAATATAATAGTTAATATAGAGATTAAAAAATATAATAATTATCATATTATAATGACATATCAAATCAATATCATTATCAAAAGTTTCAAAAAGCAAATAATTATGATATATAAATAATAAGGAGTTCAGTTTATCTGGTTTTAAACTAGTCCTTTTCTCTTCAAAGGCCCTACCAGCAGCTGAAAACGCTCTTTCACTGCTAGCCGACGAAGCAGGGATAGTTAGGAATTTAAGAGCCAAAATATTTAAATTTGGAAAATCATTATGGTTTGTCTTCCACCAATTTAAAATATTATCATCTTCTATATATAATTTAGCATCTAGACATTTTTGTCGTCAACTTCAACACTAGCATCAGAAAACGCATTGTCAGAAAGAAATCCAAAAACGTATCTCCGCTTAAGAAAAAAAATATTCAAAATATAAATAATTTTAAAAGATATATTTACCTTATTATTTTTTAATTAATAATTTAATTATTAATTTAATGAATCTTCAGTTGAGTGGGAGCTAGATGGTGAGTTGATATATATATATCGATTTTTGCCCCATATCTCTATTGATCTTCTCTGCATTAATCAACGTGTTAATATGTTTGCACATCTCTTTATAATGTTCTCGGGATAATATATTATATCCCGAAATTTTGGGCACAAAAATTTCATATATCTATTTGAAATTTATCCACCATTATTTCCAGGCATCTTTGCGATATGTTTAAACCGAGTTTAAGTTTGGATGAGCTAAATTATTCAATATTTTGTGATAACACAATATAACTTTGTGAATGGTGGGTTTTAAATAATCCTCATGTTCATCACTCGCAATTTAATAGGCGTCAGAAACTTGATAAGGTCCTTCATCATTTCAAAATCTATATTTTCGAGCCTACATCGACTTGAACTGAGAACATTCAATATTTCATATGAAAATAGATTCAATCATCTTTAGTCTGCTATTCCATCTAGTCTCAACCTACAAATTGAACGCTTTATCAATAACTAATCTAAAATTTAATGCTATATTTTAATAAAAAAGTGATTTAATATACCCACTCTTATATAAATAACTAAACTTTTACAATCAACAAAACATTGATATATCTCTACACCTTGAGATTCAATATTTTTATTAACAAAGATCTTCCTTAATATTGTACTTAAAAGATGAGAAGAAGCACGATTATAATTTATGATTTTCAAATAGCCATATTAGCTCTTTGCAGGCGCCTACTTAGCGGGGGGGGGGGAGAATGCAGATGCCGGATATTTTTCAAATATTATTGTTTATATTAATTTATATTTGTTAATATTTATTCCTATTTCATATTAAATATATATTTAATTACATTTATTATCACATTCATCTACTAAGTTATTTTATCAATTAATTTCGATTTCAAGTTTTCCAGCGTAATATTTACTTATTATTTTCAAATTTCTAGCTTTATTTCTGAAACTCCTTGTCCAACAGGGAGAAAGAAATTGCAAGCCTGTCCAACGAGATAGAATCTCCACCATCAAGCAGTAACAGCTTTTATGGAGTTAGAAGTAGTGATCTGCATCGGGCCTAATTTTTCAAACCCGGCCCGGTCCGAAATTTTTTTAAAAAAAGTTTTGCCGGCCCGGCCATAACCCGAAATATTTTTAAAAAAATTTACCGGCCCGACCCGTCCTGAATTTATTTAAAATAGAAATTTATTTTTATAATTACACAAAATAAAAGACATATGTTATATAGCATCTACATCTAGTTTCTATAAATAAAATCAAATATTTTTATTTTACATAAAATATTTAATATAAAATTGATAAGTTTAGATATATTTAAAACAATTTTGAAGACTCGACCAGACTCGGCCCGAATTTTTTCAAAAAATATTAGGCCCGACCCAGCCCGAACTAGTTAGAAGAGCCGATTATTTGCTATTAATGAAATATCATAATGGCCTGAAAGAAATATTTCCTCAGAAGCAAGATGGATTCAATGCTTATTCCAAATTTTTTTCTCATTAGAATGTATTATTTAATTATACAACTATTAACCCTAATAATTTTCTAAAACATGACATTGACTTGATAAGTAGATGAGAATAGCGGTGAGCATTTTATTAAAACTCAAGGAAATTAGGGCTAATGTTGATGATGAATTTCATATTTTATATGTTATTGTTGAGTCTAAAGCAGAGCTATACGTGTTTAATATTTGTCTCCCTCGACTTACAGCAAGGTAAGCTCATCATCAAAACATTAATATAGGATCAGTAGAAGAGTAATAAAACAAAAGTCCCCTATCTTAGATACATTTATAACCCAAATAAATGAATGGTTTTTAATTCATCATGCAACACTTACCAATCTGCAAATATTACTTCCACAAAAGCCTTCTCAACCTTTTTCAGATGGTGATAGAAAAAAAATATATTTTCTAGATTTTTATATGAAGATGTTAAAGTATCTTATGATGACCTATTAGTTGAATAACTATGTTTAAAAAATTAACTATGGTTGATATAGTGCCAAAAAATGCTATGGATGCTTTGCATTATTTCAAACACATTTTAGATTATATTCCCAATGTATTAAAAGGGTTTATATATATTAGCAACTCTTCCAGTACTCTATTTTTAGAAGAATAACAGAGCCCTACAAAGGTACGGCACTATTTTTTAAAAATTTTTTACGCCCCGGCCCGGGTTTTTTTTTAAAAATTTCAGGCCCGGCCTGGCTTATATTTCTTTTTGATTTTTATAGCTAATAATAATGATTTTAAATATAGGCTGTTTTAAGATATACAGCCAGGCCCGGATATTTTTTTAAAAAAATTTTCAGGCCCAGCCCGGGTGTTTTTTAAAAAAATTTTTTAGGCCCGGCCCGGATATATTTAAAAAATTAAAATACGGCCACTCTGAAAAACATACCAAGAAGTACAACTTCTGAAATTAGATTGAAAGGTTTGGATCTTTTGAATATTCATAGGTATTTGACGACAAGCAAAGATGAGATAATTAAAAAATTAGCGCAATCCTAACGAAGATTGGATTTTACATTGTAAATATATAACATACAAAATACAATTATTCCTAAGAAACTTTTTGTGTGTTATTTATATTTCCAACATTTAAACATTTTATACTTTATATATAAATTTTAAAGGCTCAAAAAATTAAATTTCTATTTTGGGTCTTTTAAGTGATTTATATTGTGGTTATATTCACTTTATATTTTATAAATCACATTTATTTTATAGTTTTTCATATACCGTTAGTTATATCCGTTTAATATTTTTTAATTCACATTTATTTTATAGTTTTTTTTTATATGCCGGTTTATACATATAATTTTTTGATAATTCACATTAATTTAAATTGTATATTAGAAATAGTTATTAGTCCTAATAAATTTATGCTTGATATTTTTAAAAAACAATAATATTTCTTAAAAAATTTTATTATCCCCCCCCTCCAGACCAAATTCCTGCTTATGCGCCTGGCTCTTTGGTCTGTAATGAATGGCATTTCAGACAAATATGCCCTACTGTATTGATATAAAAAATATATTGATTTTTATAATTATTTTTAATGAAATTAATACCTAGTAAGTTAAAATTTCTAATAATTTCCTTTTTAATATTTTCACCCGTCTTTATTTCTTCTTCTAACTTGCATGTAAACGATACAACTTTATTAAATTTCCAGGAATCGTTTAAGAAATGAATATTAAGATTTACATAGGTTACTTTCTTATAATCATCAGTCCAAAGGTCTGTGGTGGCTATAAAATAAATCATTTAACCATATTTTCATATATTTGTTACCAGCACATCGACCCTTTTTCATATAGGCATTTAATTTCGGAAATAATTTATTGCGTATACCATCAGCAGTATCTATCTATTCAATTTCTAGAAATTGTCGTGGGATTTGGAATGATGCTTTAACATCAATATTTCCATATATTGAGCCAATTTTGACAAAATATTGGCAACAAGCAACAAAGCCTTCACATGAATTGGATCAAATGATCTCATATCACGTCCATAAAATATAAGCACCTTTATACACTTTTTTTTAATTTGGTACAACTTTTGAGTTTTTTGGGGTCAGTACCAAAAAGGTTATCAATTGTTAATTGAGTCTCTTTACTCTCTATTGTAAATACACATTTAGACCTTTTTAGTTGATTTGTGCCTAAAATAAATAATATAATATATTTTATATATAAATATACTAACCTGTTATAGAATTTCTTATGCCATTTTACTATTGAAAATTATTTTTAAAAAGTAAGCAAAAATAAAAATTTTGGCCGACTTTAAGCTTAAAAGTCAAATGAAAGCACAAACGATAAAACATATAACATTATAAAAAAAATTTAAAAGTTAAATTTTCGCAAATTTTAAAGAAAGCGAATGTTAAATTTTTGAAATTTATATTTAAAAAAATTGGAAATATGTTTTTTTGAACATGTTTTTAATTTTATATTTTAAATTTTGAAAGTTTGTGAATTGTTGATGTTTTGGGCACAGCCTGATAAAATCAATTGGTGTTTAAATTTAATTGTTTGTTTTTTTAAACGTCTCGCCAATATTTTGTGAGTGATCCTGGCTGGTCGCTCCCGTTATCATTAATCTTGATTTCAGAACTTACCAAATTTTTGTAATTTTTGTGATGTTAGCATTCTCCTATAAATGATTGAATTTTTATTTGTAGAGGTTTCAGGATTTGAAAATAACTAAAGATGAGGATGAATTCGAGGATGAAGATGATAAGGAATTGAGAATATCATGAGAAAAGTATTTGACTTTGCCTTCGGTAAAGCCGTTCAAGGAATCGTTATCAAATGGATAGTGAAATCATTTTTAAAAAAAAGAAGATATAATAGATAAATAAATAATACCAATTTAACAAACATATCTTGAGAATTGTTAAAACTTATAAATTAAGGGTTTCGAGTTAAGATAGGTATATTGATTCAGTTCCATTAATATTTTAAAATTGATCCATCATAAACGAATGAATGGGAATCTGTGAGTAAAAATTTCCGTCACAAAAAATTTATGAAACCATATGTTTATTTTAAAATACAAAGCAAAGTCATACAAACCTCAAAAACCAAAAATATACTTTTTATCGCGTTATAAAAAACAAACGAAACCTGATTTATGAAAATAGGTAAATTTTCAAAAGGGGAGATGTTCTTCAAGCCTCACTTCAGCCATGCCCATGTAATCAATCAAATAATTATAAAATTTATAAACCGATATGAACTTGTAACAACTGGGCTCTTTCCTTTTTGAGATTTTCATAAAACTACTATGAAAATCTATCGCGGATTATAATCCAGGTCGAGGAGGATTTGGAAAAATAATGCAACAAAAAATAAGTAAAAATTTTATTTTTATAACCCCCGCTTATTTATGTTTATTTAGATTACAATTGATTAGAATCAGAGTTGTTAACGCTCCTTTTTAAAAGTAGCTAGCTCCCGCTCCCTTTCCCATTAAACTGAATATTCTCTTATAAAGATTTTTTTTAATTCAGGTATAAGAAAGGAGGTTGAGCAAGTAATGAGAAAATTAAATTTAATATTAAAATATATTTTAAAAAGCATCATCCAAGCTCAACAATAATGAATTGCCCAAAAATAATTATAACCATTTTAAAAAAATTATTCCAAAATAAAAAAAAATATAGATATCATTTCGAAAAGAAAGATTATTTACTTTTAGATGCTATTTTAGATTGGAGCTACTCTGAAAATGAAATACTTTTACTTAAATACAAAAGGCATTTTGCCCTTAAATTTGTTTGATCATTTGGATCAATATCTTTTAGAAGTTTTAAATATTTTTTGTATGATGGAAATGGAAATTCGATTTCTTCTTCTATGATCTCTAAATCCATAATATCGAAAACTATTTTTTATTATATATCTATAAAATGAATATTAATATGACTTACAATATTTTCCACAAAATTTTCAATATAAAAATGAAAAATTTGATGTTTAATATATAAAAGATTAGAAGTAAAACCAATATAAAACTCGGATCAACATTTAATAATGGATAAATTTAAATTAAATTAAATTTCATTTTTATCGAATTTTAATTAACAAATATTATTAATATTTAAAAAATAATTTAATTTATACCATAAATTTAAAGGAGCGGCGCTCCTCCACTCCAGCCATAAAAGGAGCTATCTCCCGCCCCCTCTCCTCTCCAGGTGTTTTTGAAAAAATGTAGCCCCGCTCCAGGAGCCGCTCCATAACAACTCTGGTAAATTTAAAAAAAATAATAATAAAATAAGATTAGATACATAAAGTATAAGAAATATTATAAGAAAAAAAAAGATATAAACAAGGGAAATAGGGTAAAAAATCAAAATAGAAAAAAATAAAGAAAGATGAATTATATAAGATAAAGTATTATTATTATTAACAATAGAAATTAGGGGGTTGGTAAATTTTTAAAAAAAGGGGGATTGGTAAATTTAAGAAAAATAATTATAAAAAAAAGATTAAGTTAATGGAGTATAAAATTATATTATTGGGAGAGGGAGGGGGTGGAGAGGGGGGGTGGGGGGGGGGGGGGGTTGGAAAATAAGGAAATTATTTTCCCCGGGAGAATTTTTAGGGTGTGGAGTGAGAAGAAGTGGCCAATAAAATGGATCATTAGATCAATAGAATTTAACTTCGTCGGGAAAATTTTTAGGGTGTGGGTATGAGAGGAGGTTCGGCAAATAAAATGGAAAATTAAGTAATATTCGGATTAAACTTCGTCGGGAAAATTATTAGGGTGTGGAGACGTGGGAAGATTTGGCAAATAAAAGAATAATCGAAAATGAAAGAAAAAAAAATTAAAATTGGTCTGGAAAATCTTTAGGGTATGGTGATGTAAAAAAAAATCAAACTTCCAGAAATTTTTCCACGGCTGCCAAATAGGGGAATCTTAAGGTTATCTGTTCACTATTCTTCACGAATGAAGTTAAGCGCTGCTTCGATTTGATAATGGAAATTTTGATACGATGAGTCTCCCTCAGGAGGAGAATTTACGAATTGACTTTATTGGCGTGAAAATGGTCTGTAAAATTCCTTTTTTTTATTTGTTAATAAAAATAATTTAAGCCTAATTTTAAATTTATATCACCCACCATTCCTTCATTTTTATTTTTAATTCTCATTGTTAAATTTTCAGTCGAATATTAATCTAATTAATATTCAATCAAAATTCAAAGTAAATGTTAATAATTAAATTATCATTATATTTTATAATTTATTTTAAGAATATTATGTCCTTAGTATACTTCTTAAGAAGATAATTTAACCCTTCCCTAGCTCCAATTTGAAACATATTTTACATTAATAAAGAATATTAAAGGTACAAAGTCTACATTTTGTAAATGTAAATTATATCTCAACGCAAATATTTAAACCTTAATGTCCAGTAGTTCAAACTTAAAAAAGCATGATGAATTAATATATTATTATTTTAAACATTACTTTAATAATAGAATATCAAATCATGGGTATTATAAAAAATCATGGGTATTATAAAAAATCATTAAAAGACATTCTTTCATTATATTTTGAAAAGTTAATCATGAAATTAAAATATAAGCAATTAAATTATACTATAGCATATAGCTGGGAAGCAATATTGTTTTAGTGAACTGAACCTGTATATTTTTCCTGATTCCTTTTTAAATGAAAATTCTGAATTCTGAAAAAGATAAGAAATTGAAAATATATCTTTGGGAATCATAATTTCAATTTTTAATATTTTCGTTGACAAGGGATAAAAAAATGCAATTAAATTTTTAAAAGATTTATCTTCAATTATTGAAATAGCTAAGTTATTTTTAATAAAAAATTCAGGAATTTATTTTAATTTTATAGACTGTACATTCCTCAAAAATTAAAAGATTAATGAATATTTGAAAGTAATAATTAAAAAAATTGAAGTTAATCAACTCATACTCATTGAGGATAAAAATAGCACAATCAGCTGTTGATAAATTATTTTTTATTTTGCAACCATTTCCAATTGTAGAAAGCATTTATTAATCAAAAAATTACGGCCAACTAAAAATGTGATGTCTATGCCTACCCTCGTATTAAAATTTAACAAATCATATTTATACTACAACGAGGAGTGATACCAGAGACGTCGCTAGCCTTTACAATCTCATGGAGCTCAACTAAAAAAAATTTTTATGGGGGGCTTCGCCACCTACTTCTTCCAATTAGCGTGCCTTTTTACATTAGTATATTATACTTTTAAGGGTGGGAGGTAGCTGATTTTAAGTTTAAATTCTTTAGTGTATGCCTTAATGATTACTATCGATATTTATAATCTTATATCAATTGAATTTCGATTTATCCTAAAAGAACAAAAAACTAATATATATATTTGTTAATTTCTGGTAAAATAAGATGTTCAATTTTAATTTTGATATTTTATTATCTTTTAAAAACTAAGTATCTAATATTTTTAATATGATTAGTGATCTGCATCGGGCCTAATTTTTCAAGCCCGGCCCCACCCTAATTTTTTTTTAAAAAGTTTTGCCGGCCCGGCCCGAACCCAAAATTTATTTTTAAAAAATTTACCGGCCCGGCCAGACCCCGAATTTATTTAAATATATAAATTTGTTTTTATTAATTACTTAAAATAAAAGACATATGTTATATATCGTTTAGTTTCAATAAATTAAATCAAAATTTTTTATTTTACATAAAAAATTCAATATAAAATTGATAAATTTAGATATATTTAATAAAATTTCCAAGGTCCGACCCGGCCCGAAATTTTTTAAAATTATTAGGCCCGGTCTGACCCGAACCCGATTATTTTAAATAGAATTAGGCCCGGGACTCGGGCCAGGTACAGGCCGGGCCTAACTTTGCAGATCTCCAATGATTATATCACCTTATATTGGCTATAATTTAACTCATTTTATAAATATTTCGGATTTTTTTAAATAAAAAGAATGGTATAATTATAAATAATTATTTTCTATAAAGTCATTTTTGACAAGAGGTGGGTATAGAATAACCTAATTCTAGGCAAGTCGATGATGATTAATTTTTGATTTTTCTTAAATGGTCGTTATTGAACATAATTTAGTTACTTCATATTTATATAGATAAGCATCATAATAAAGAAATGTTTTCATATACCTGCCTGAAAAATGGAATAAAATTTTTATAAGCAATACCAAAAATGCCAATTAAATACCACCTCAAATTTAAAATTTATCCATATCCATTATGGCCAAAATGATGATTGAATTTATCTCAAGCAAATTATAACCAAAGGTGAGATGACGTAAATTTTAAAGAGAAAACTATGGATGCAGCGGGTATAAAATTGAATTTGCGAAAAAAATTTAAGAGAATTTAATTGGAATAATTGATTTAGAAAATCTTTAAAAGCCAGATTTTTGTGCCTAGATTTTTTAAAAACTTTGGCGAAAAATGGTCGTTTGTGTAAGGTAAATATTTATATTTGCTGATCTTATTTGTTTCTGCTTGTGTTAGTAGAGTGATTATGTTAAAAGGGAAACCGAGGGCCCAAGGTATGGTTGTCATACCATCAGTCTTAATTTACTTGAGATAAATTTGTGTACTTAAGATGGTTTGGAATGTTTTATAACACTAGAGGTAAGAAATAGTCCAATTTTAACAAAATCTTTCAAATGTTTAAATAGGAACTATTATTATAATATATTTACTTTTTTTAAATCTTATATAAAAGATTTGAACGATAACCATTATTTTTTGGGATTTTATATACTAGGAGTAGCCAGGGGTGTGCTGATTCTAGAAAATATCATAATAAGATTTTCACTCCCCCTACACACCTTCATATCCTTTTCCTCCAAAATTGTATACAATATATCATTGTAAAGAAGAATTTGAAAGAAAAATTAGTAGAAGTTAATAATTTTTAAAATAAAGCATTTTTATAAAAAAAAAAATTGAAAGGACAAAATTATTTTTATAAAAATCTTACATAGCTAAAAGTCTACAATCTAAAGATCTTTAATAAAATATATGAGGGAAAATCATCTTAATATCCTCCCCTCTGACATTTTGGCTACTATGTATATATATACATTTTTATCTATTTTGAGATATATATTACTTATACTTTGTGTTAAACTAATTCTAAAAACAAGTATCAACAATAAAATCCAACCTATTCTATTACTTCTGAGATAAAATTCCCATATTTGGATAACAAAAGGCAGGTCTGGCTGAATACAAGTAAATTAGCAGGTCATATACACAAATCGACTAAACTTTTTTTCGAAGCTATTACCGGTCTAAAAAAATCCAATTTTTTTGCGTCGAGGCGATTCTAATACAAGGAAGTCAGAGTTTGATTCAGAAGTTTAGCACGGTGAGTCAAGCTCGAATTAAGAAGAAAAATATTTTAGAGTCCATTCAAAATAACTTGTTATTTGCCAAATTTGATCATGCAGGGATCTAATATACACCTATCAAAGATTAATATTTTAAGCAAAAATAAAATAAAGCCCACCTAAATTTAGATCTACTATAATAATAAAAAAAGAGTATACTAAACGCTATTAGCTTACCTTGATTGTAAATAATTAATCAAAAATTTATTTGCCCATTTATATATAGTTTTTTCTGCTAAATATAATTTTTTATATTTGGCTTAAATTATTTGTTTTAAACGATTGTTAAATATTCATATAAGATTCCTACTAAATAAATATATAGTTAATTAGGAATTAATAATAGATTACATTATATACTTATATGATATCGTATCTTTTTTAGACTTATTTTTTTTTTAAAAAATTAACTTATTTCCCAAATTTAAAAAAAAAAAAATCATTAAAAAAAATGAATCCTAGTCTATTCATGGTTATAGTTTTAACTGGTATGGCAATGTTAGCGACTCAAAAAGGTGATATATCATTTTATAAAATTATTTCTTTTATAATGTTTAAAATATTGTATTGAATAAATAAAACTTGTTTTTTTAAAAGATAATAAAATGCGGTAATATAACATCTTATTAGGAAAGAAATTCAAATAAAATCTGTATATATATAAAGGGGGGGGGGGTGAATACTTCTTTGAGTGCCTTATCAAAAATCTCCATGGATTAAACAACCAATTGAAAAACGGCTTATAGTTCACTAACATATAGAATTATCAGCTGATGTCTGTAATATACCTGATCTTCCAACTCCTGGATTTTTTTTAAAAAAATAATTTGTGAACTCCGGCTATCTATGATTTAAAAAAAGCGACGAGTAATTAAATCAAAATTATTTGCTATTTTAAATTATGTACATTCACCAGATGTAAAAATTTGATAATGGTTTCTTAATTTTTTTTGAATATCTCAGGTGAGACTTTTCGTCGTTGTTCTGCCTATGGGAACATTGTTGTCTAATTCCTGTTCGTAGGGCGAGAACTACTGGTTGGTTCTGTTAAACCTTTATTGATTCTTGTCAATGTTTGTTAGTAACTAAACGTTCATTTTAATGCTTGATGGATTGTGACTTGACGTGGTATCTCAAAGTTAAAAGCCAAGATCTACTTTATAAAAAACGTGGAATTTCTAAATCTTGTGACAAAAACTCTATTCACAGAAATGACTGTACTTATCTTTTTCTTAAAATTATACTATCCCTATAAAAATTTCGATATTAAACATGAATATATCTATCAGTTTATCACACACAGACGTTCATCGATATCAATTTAATATTGAGAACATTTACTAACAGCATTAATCTTATGGGCAAATGCATTGATTTCTTGTGGCTTTTTAATATAGAAATATAAAACTTTAAGAATTGAATCGATTGAATTCATATTTTCTATCTTAGAACTTGCCTGACACATCTTAAATTAATAATATAATTACAATTCATTTGTTAGCACATTTAATAAACACTTTGGGGTGACTTCGAAAAAAATATTTGTTATCGATATTCTTTGATTTGAAATTTAGGGAATATGAAAAGAAATCAAATTCGTATGAATAAAATAATGCAATTCAATTTGTATGAATATTTTAAATTTAATTATTTAATTATGTTTTTATAGGAATTTACAAATCGAGTTAGACACGAATTAAAGATAATTATTTAAGTGGTAATAAAATAATAATGTTTATCACAATTTATACGTATAAACATAAATTTTGGTAAAAGTTAATTGTATATAAAAAAAACATTTGAATATTATTTCAACAAGAAAATCAATTATACTAAATCAATTTAGTTATATATTATTATTTAACAAAAGGAAAATTAATATATACATTTTCAACTATTTTAACTTATAGCCAGAACATAATATAGAAAAAGATGGTTTATAATATAACTTCAGTTTTAACGTATTTTGAAGCTATTTGTACTAACAGATCACTTTATTTTATCTGATTAACAATTAATGAAAAGCGTAATAATTAAATTACACTTTTTGAATGTATGATTATTGATAACTCTAAGTCAAAAGTAAAATACTTCATTCTCTCAACTTTTGACTATTAAGGCAAATATATTTTAAAAAAAATATAAATAGGGTTTGATTTTCATAATATTAAATTAACACAATAAAATATTTTCTATAATAAACTTATATTTAAAGCTCACTCTAAATCGTATGACAATCAAGGGTATATATATATAACATATGCATTTATATATAATATTCCTGTAAGGCCTAACTAAGTCCTGGAAAGTAATTTAAATGTGGCATTATTCACATAAGTTTTTTTAAAAAAACAGTAAAAATCATATCACAAATGGCAGAACAAAATTATTGAGTTAAATTATGCCAAAATAGTTTTTCCTATCAAAAAACCTACTTTCCCTAGAAAAAAATAATAAATTGTGCAAATAAGATTTGAAAAATTGATTGCTGAATCGTGTCCTAATGCATTTTCGTTATAAAAATAAAAATTATTTATACATGTATTCTTCATTTATTTAAAGATGGGATCGCGATATTGTTAACAAGGTAAATAGTATTTTATATATAATATCCTTTTAATACATTTTTAACTTAAAATAAATTAAATATTTTTTAGTAATTATATCCTATTTTTATTCTTATTTACTTTATATATGATTAAAACACTGATTACAAAAAAAAATATCTAGATTGATAATCTTTAATAATTAAAAATTAATTTAAAATAAGAACAATAAATGAAATCTTTAATTTTCATAATGGAAAAATAACTCGCATGCATAAAAAATATATCCGCCATTTTCCTTGAAATAAAATGTACATAAAATTACTATTAAACGTTAAAAGATGTAAGGAAAAATATTGGAACCCTTTGCAAAAAAATATTATTTATAGGGCTCCTTTTAATTACTTGAGTCGATGTAATTGTAAAAATCTCTCTTGGGGCTTTCCGCCAGGCGGGAATGTCTGTTACGCCTTTGTTAAAACCAGGGATCCGAAACGTTATTTATAACGATTCAGTTTGGTTACGGTTCAGTATGTAAAAAATTATAATGGTTACGTTTTGGTTACGGTTCTTAAGAAAAAATTTATAAACGTTCGGTTCAGCTAATTATAAAGGTTCATAACGGTTAGAAATTTTTTGTTTATTGAAGCAATACCATCGTCTAATTTATTTTTATTATAAGCATCTATGAATTATATATAAAAAATATATATATATGATTAACTCATTTTTAAATATATTATTTGAACGTATAAGTAATATATTTTCTAATATAAATGGATCTACTTTTTGTTCGTTGTGACGATAATACAAATTTTGTCCCGAAAAGGCCCTTTCTACAGAGACTTGTGTTGCGGGAAACGCCAGTACTATAAGAGCAAGTTTATATAATTCTGGATATTCAAATTATCTCCATTTCTAAAATATAAAAACTGAACCGGTTTAAACCGGTTTAACCTTTTTTATAAAGGTACTTTTTACTCCTTCAAAAAATAATTATATCGGTTCGGTTACGGTTCAGATATTTACAACGGTTTATAATGGTTTACCGGTTTGTTACGGTTCACTCTGGGTCCCTGGTTAAAACTAACAGTAATATACATAAATTTATGACTAAGCTTAATATGAAAAATTGGCGGTATATTTTTTTAAAAGAAATAGTTAATAATAGGACACACAAATTGAGCGCGTTTTACCGTATTTTTTTAATGTTTAAACTGAGGTTACCTTTTTATTAGTAATCGTCGATTCAAAATTTCAATTGAGTTATATTTAAAAAATTGATTTTTGTAAATTATATTATCGTCTGCCTTTTTTTATTGCTCTAAATTTTCTCTTATAAAAAAGATAAGGTATGTTTTTTAATATAATATTAATTTTAATTGACATAATAATAAAATTAAATGACTAGAAGGGACATTTTTTAGTATCCCCCCCCCCCCCCCATTAATATTCTTATTAAATAACAAGGGTTTGTAGGTTTTCCTGCGAAAAAAAGCCGAGATTTTAAAAAGCGGGTCATCGTGGAAAATAAACGAATAAAAAGTATTAAAAATGTAAACCAGTTTCCGTTTTTTTTTCTAACACCAAGTTGTTGATCATATTTGCACGATACCATTTGAAATGTATTCAATTTTTTTAAAAAAATAAAAGTTTATTCCAAATAAAGCCGCAGCAATCCGTAACTTGAAAGAAAATGTTGTGATGTGTTTGTTAAGTCACGATGATAATGTGGAATACCATTGTTACAACTTTTCTAATTACCAATTCGCTCTCATACCAGAAGCCGTCACTCAGGTTTAAGTTATACCTTAACATTTTTTTCATGATAAATTTATTATATAATCATAAAAAAAAATTCAATCATAAAAAAAAATTCTTTTTTATCTTCTTTCTTTCTTTTCATCTATAATTAATTTTGATTTTCTAAAAAAATTATTTATGCTAAAGATTCTCTAAAAAAAAGAATATATAATATGAATTGATTATTTTAGAAAATATATATATATATACCCCTTTCGGAATATAATTTGAACTTGGGAAATAGAAGTATCTGTTTTGCTTAAATCAAAAGTTTAACCCCTACATTTACGGTTAACGCGAATTCGCGACCAAGTATACAAAATTGCAGGGTAATCTATTTATGTAACTCACAGGCAATTGTAAGAAATTTACAGTGTATTTATTCTTTTACTGTCATTTTCACTCCCTAAAAATAAGATTCTCTAAATTCAAAAAAAAAGATCAAAAATAAATAATTTACCAGATATGGGATTCCAGTCTGTGTATAATATATTACCTACATTCCGACTATTCATGCAATATCATCTATCCTATTACCTATATTTCCAGTATTAATACTTCACAATTTGATAAAATTTTAAATTTTGAAAATTGAATAACTAGATGGAAATTATGAAGGTGGGAGAAAAACTCTATGTTAAGGAATATTACACTGGATTTTATGTGTTGAAAATAGGAAATGGAATGCAAAAAACTATAAGCACAAACCCAACCGAGAATTTTCAAAATGGAATTAACGTGATCACGTTCAGGATACCACGAAACACATTTCGATCCATATCTAAAGATCCCCGTTTTCATTATATTATTATTAATTTTTTTTTTGGAAAATTAATATTATGATTGATGCAAGAATTTACGAATAATTTTTAGATTTGTGTTAGAAATAATAATTCTTAAGATATATTTTTTTTGTATTAAAAATAATAATTTTTACTTTAAAAAAGAATAGTTTTGGTTTTTAAAAATTTAATATTTTTAAAGGAAATCATTCAATATAATTGTAATTTTAAATATATTTAAATAATCACAAAGTGAGTGGTAGACCGTTAAAATCGTACATCGATTACAATGATGCTTGTGATCTGATCGAATCACCAGATACATATATATATGATATGTATAGATTAGGGTGTTTTTTCAGGTAATTAATACTAATTAAATAGCTTTTATTGGAAATTAAATAATAATTATGTATTATGCGCATTTAATTATTGATCCAGTGGCATACCCTTGGCATCAACGGAAGACGGGATCGTAGAAAGGATCGAATCAAACTCCAACTCAAATTATTTAGAGAGTGTTGTGCAATCGAATACTATTTTTTCTAGTGATGATAGAGCGCTAATTGGCAAGAAATTTAGCAATAAGAGTGATTACCAAATTGAAATGAGCCAAGCGAACGTATTTACAAAATAAATAATATATATGGCTAACTTTTATTTTATTTTATTTTTCTAAATATTCATTGTTGCATTATAGCGAATGTATTATGCCATATTAATGATTGAGCATTGTTAGATTTAAAAAAAATAACTATTAATCAATTTTCTCATCTTTAAAAATATATAAATATAATTAGTTGACAGTGAACGTAACGGGACGCTACAATCATGCGATAATACTTGACATCGATAATCCAGAAAAGGATGTCAATTTAAATGTCCGTACGTTTGATGAAGTAATCAACAAATTATATAGACACATTATAAAAAACTATGCTAATAAATATTTAATTTGTTCGGAAAAGTAACAGAGTAAACACAATGATCATTTTTCAAAGGAATAAATTTATCTACATATTACTTCTTATTATTAATTTTATATATATTATTTTTAAAAATTTAAGGGAATAATTATTCAAAAATCAGATGGAGTAACGTTTAACACCAAACAAAATATTAACGGATCGATTATTACAGAATCAAATTTCTATTCCAAGCATTTGATCGCTATTATCGAAATATGGGTTTCACGAAATGATAGGTATCAATTTAATTTGCCGGAAGAATTCTACATTCGCTTACAAAGACCTTACAAGAAGTGTGTGCGACGGGCATAAAGCGACAAATTTGATATTCGACAATTTTTTTTAAATCTAATTTACTAATTAAAAGATGTGAAAATATAGTTTAATTTTTTAAAAAATGAATAGGGCAATTTTTATTTTGTGAAAACAATAATTATTTATTTTAATATATATATACAAATATTATTATGTATAATATTATGCACAAAAATGTCTACCTTAAACTTGACATCATATTTTAGAAGTGAAATTAAAGCAAATTTAATAGCAAATGATTATAGCTCAGAAATCATTTCCCTAAAGGAAAATATGCTAAATAATACTTGCGTTACTATTTTCAGGTGATCTACAAGTTATAAATTCTGTGTCGCAGCCAGGATTTATCTAACGAAAGGGATTAAGATTGCATCTATACTTATTTAATATTTTTTTATTTTTTTTAAATTATTTATTTTATAAATTTTAAAAATGATACTTAGGAGGTTTCAGGCGCAATTCTAGCTTCATCCATCTGGGGGAGGGGCAGATATATTTTTTTTTGGGGGGGGGGGGGGGTTGGCAGTTAAAAAATCATAGAACAAATATTTAAGTCATTTCTTCACAAAATTGAAATATACGATTTCATTTGATTAATACCACATATAAAAATATACAATGATCAAATTTGTTTCTAAAATTAAATGGAAGATAAGAATTGACTTATAGCTGAAAAGGAATAAGTTGATTTAATGATTTTACAAATATATATAATAACGTTGATATAATTTGTATTTTATAATACTTTTTAAGGATTCAAAATTATAAAATATATGTAATCTAGAAAATATTTATAATGATATTACAATGGGTATTATGTCAATGATTGAGTAGTGTAATACTAACAAAAATAAAGCATTAACATATAATTTTGATTGAGATGTGTTTTTAAATACCTTGGAAACATTTTTAAAATTGATCAGTTATGTTTTTGCCATGTCCTAATAAAACTAAGTTACTAATTTTTTATTATTATTAAAACGATCTAATTTAATATTCTATTAATAGTAAAAAGTTTAATCAATATCCTATGTGGATGATCTAAACTGATAAAGGATATTTAAAAATGCATTTTTGTAGAAATTTGACATAATCTGATGTAATACAATCTTTATAATTTTCTATACTTTAAAACAAATAATTTTTTAACTATCTCAAATACAACTACTAATCGCTCTTCAGTAATATTGGTTGCCAATAAAGGTTTTAATTTTTTTATGTCTAGAAAATTAAAGGGCTATTTGATTTAAATTTAATTAATTTTTACAAAAAAAATTGGAAATTTTTTTAATCTTATGATCCTCTTCTGTGTATTCTGCAATTTTGATGTTTCTCAAGGCCCCTGTATTCAAGAACATGAGCAAAATCTCCAGACTTACATAATATTATTTTAGTTATAATTTTGATCATCATTTATTTTAAATCGACCCGAATCGGGCTTTTTAACACTACTAAATGTTGGCTTATTTGGTGATACCTGATTTAAATTAGTTATAAAATATTTGCAATAAGAATAACTTAAAAATTTAACCTATTCATTTTGTTTTTGCAAACTTAGGCTCATTTTCCTTATTCCGAATCTTGGCATCTTGATCATTTTTATTCTTCCAAAAAATTAAATACATTTATATTTACTCCTTACTCCTTACAATATGAGATGCGTTGGTGCTATGAGGTATTTTAGCAGACATGAATAAATAGTTTTTTTTATAAAATCGATAGTGTTTTGAATTTTAAAAAATTTGTCAAAATAATATTTAAAAAATTTTTAGGGAAGGAGGATTTGCAAAAAAAGTTTAAATAGACCTGGATATAAAAGTCCATTTATATACCTTCTCAGCAGCACATTTAAAACGCTAACTGATATTAAATGAGATTGTGCATTTTATTTCTTGAAATGTTATTTTGTAAAAGATTAATGTATTTACCAAATAAATATCTTAAATTTATCAATTTAAAAGAAGATGATCTTGACTTCTTTGCTGAAAAAGATAAAGAAGACCAGACTGAGATGGTATAGACATATATTAAGTGTAAGGAATAATACAAGTTATGTGAACCGGCAAGTTATCGATATATGAAATTACGGGCCAACAAACCAGAGGCATGCCACAACTTATTTGTATTTTATTTTATAAAGGAATATTTAAAAAGAAGAGTGTGAGTGAAGAAAAATAAATTAAAACAAGAGTAAACAAATTAATGTTAAAGAAAAGATTTGACAAGTTGGCACCACGAGTATTTAACGACATTTTAAAATTATTTTAGAAAATAGATAACTAAGCTACTAATTAGGAATTAAGTTTTATTTATTTATTCCCTCTCTTTCCCTTTTCGGAATCGCAAAATGTTTTTTGAGGATATTTTTTTAGAATCGATTTTAAAACTTATAAATACAAAAATCGAGGTGTTTTTCAGGGCTCAAATCGAACAAGTTCGGGTTTATAATCCTAAATATTTTCGGGCCCCGGGTAGATTTGGGTTCGAAAAAAGAGCTCTGAACCTGCATCCAGAGGTCCGAGTTCGGTTCAGAACCCTGGATTATAAATTTATTAGTAAAAAAATCAAATCAATGTGAGATTAAATAAACGATAAAATTAATTTGTATATTTTTTTCAAAGATTAAAATCCTGCCTCTGCACTTGCGGTTTCTTAAAATAAAACGTTTCATTTCTTTTTCAAGTTTTGGAAAGTTGGCGTCTTTTTCCTGTTTTGGAAATGAATTTCTCCATAGTTGATATAAAAATTAAGATATTTTTAATAAATTTTTTAACGAAATAATTCTTTTTAAAATAATTATTGTTTTTAAAAATGAATGGTATTTCTTTTAATTTTTTATTTATGAAAAAATTTAACCATATTATTTTTGCTTCCCCAGAGCTTATTTTTAAAAGTAAAATTTATACAATACATTTGTATGAATGTTATTTATTTTAACGTAATAATAAAAATTTACTAAAAATATTTCATATAAGCATGATTTTTTTCTTTTATTTATTTCAAATAAGCAATTTTAAATTAGCTTCCCCGCAAATATATTTTCTTTTAGCGAAGTAAAAATAATATTAAATGTTTTAACGTTGTAAAAAGTATCTTATTCTTTTAACGTAATAAAGATAATATTAAAATTTTTTTAACGTAATAAAAATAAGGTCCGTGAAGTTGGCGGAACGACTTGAGGATCAGCTAACAAAACCGATGCCAATATTAGAGTCTTATTGATCCTAATTGATCTTCAAACCAGACATCAGCGGAATTAAAGGTTAATGTTATAAGCAAAATAAGGAAAGTGTGAAATTTTAAAGTTGGTGGAAAGATTTGGATCAATTGGAAACTTACACAATTGTGTAGCTCGTTAATTGATCCTAATTGATCTACTATCCGGACAACAGCGGAATGAAAGATCACTGAGTTATAAAAATAAGAATTGCTAAAACCGAAAATATAAAAGATCATGTTCAGAAACTTGGCAATTACTTAGTATTCAATTTGAGTGTTAATAATCTCCAAACCGCATATCCCTATCACTAACTATAACCAAATTTTATCCGTTTTAAAGCGTGAAGTTGGCGGAATTATTTGCAGAAAGTGAGGATCAATTACCTAAATTCGGCCAGAATCCTTTAACCGCATACCAGCGGAATAAACCGCTCTTGGGTTAGGCAAAATAGAAAGGTGGCATTTTGCCAGAATCTAAAGTTCGAGTAAACATTTGTTTTAGTTAAGGCTAATAGTATTCTTCAGAATGTTAAAAAAATTAAAGGAAAGTGTTTTTTAACCTAGTAAAAAATAATATTTTTTAACTTAGTAAAAATATATTAATTTTCATTTTTTTTAATTTTAATGTAGATAAATATTATAATAATTTTATTAAAGAATGTAATGCTCTCCTTGCTTTTGGACGCTTCGTCACTGACACAAAAATATAATAACAATACAACTATATTATTGAAATGTTCGGCGCCGATTAAGCAGGCTCCCCGAACTATGGACAGGGAGGGTTCTATCACGATTGATTCATCCAGATTTTCCAGGGTAAGGACTTGGGGACCCGGCATTAGTGGCAGTGAATTGACCATATAGTTAAGGAACGTTTAAATAAAAATATAATAGTCGCACCCAGGTATTAGCGGGTGTTTATTTAAATAAAATAAGTGGAATGTGGCCTTAACCAATCAAATTATTAGTTAAACCGTAATTTTTTATGCGAAAACTATGTCCCATATTTTATAACACCGCCTCTCTGCAGTCTTAATGCAGATTTTAATCCTAAATTAAAAAAACAAAGGAGCGGATTTCTCCTCATCATAGTATTAGTCAGGCGCGTAACCAATGGGGGGGAAAGGGGGAAATTTCACCCCCCATACAAATTTGACTGTTTTTCTAAATATTTTAAGATAATAAAAAATTTTACCCCGACCCCCGGACCCCCTCCCCCCTGCCCCATCAAAATTTTTCAATATCAAGCAGAGTTTATCCTTACTGCTAGTTGCATTAATAAATTATTTTCCTATAGCTCACTACTATGTAGAAATTTACAAAAACCAAATTTCAATTTGGTTCAAGTTATTGATTTGGAGGAAAATGTGGACAGGAAGAATGAATGTAGTTGAATATTTCATAATATTTATATAGACGTTGAATTAAATCTTATAAAATATCCAATTTCATTCCATTCTTAGATACTTTTTTATTGCAAATTAAAGTACGGTTTTTAGATAAAAAACAAGTCTTTGGTAATCTTCAAATTTTATTACCTAAAGACCCTTCTTCGTTTTCTGATGCCATTATTGGTATAATTAAATATTTAGCAAAATTTTATTCCTATAATGTTGATAATGAAATCAATTTAATCAGTGAATTCGAATTGTGGTATAAATATTTACTACGTTTATTATTTTAAATGAGCATGCTATTGATGCGCTCAATCGGTATAAGGAGGCTTAATTTATTTTGAAGGTATTCTTGCATGTTTGTTTATTACAACATATACGAATGAAAGGACCTTTTTCAAATTGAGAAGGTTGAAAACTTATTTACAAAATACTACTTCTCGGCTAAATGGGTTAGCTATGTTAAATATCCACAGAGATTTATTTCCAACGACAAAGAAAATTCTTGATGAATTGGAAAAATTCCCACGAAAATTAAAAATCGCATTATAATTCTAGTATTTAATAAATTTTTTATATAATATTGTATTTAATAAGTTAGAAAAACTTGTTCTTTAAAAAATTTTCTAGTTATACTCACTACAATTAGAATTTTCAATCAAAAAAATTTTATATTTATATTATATGAGAATTTAAGCTGAGGCTAGTTTTTAAAGCAAATTTTATAAAAAAAAAAATTGACACTAAACTTTATTTCAATTTTTTATTTTTTAAAAAAAATTTATCTATTATATACCTAACTTAAAATAAAAATTGGGTTATAACTTTTATTTCTTCTTATATTCATAAGCGCGAATTAGTAATCAGGAGACCCAACGTCAACGCATAGGAATTCAGATTATAAAATCTAATTTTACACGCCATAGGTTTATTCCCCGAGGAGCCGATTAATTTAGATTTTCTTCTTCTTCCCTAAATTATTTAAACCCCCCCCCCCCTCCCCCTTCTTCTTCATATAATCATTTGCATTTATTATATTTCTATTATATCTATTATTATACTTTGTATTATGAAGTCCTTGTTTGTTAAATTTCTTAAATTTTCTAGAATTATGTTTTGGACATGATTTTATTTTTATACTATCATTTTGTCAGATTTAATTTGTCTTTATTAATAAATGTTAAATTTAAAAATTAAAAAAAAAATTTCTTAAATAAATAATTTATAAAAAACCAAAATTCAAATAAAAATTAAAAATATTAATATAATTATTATTGAATTATGAATAATTTAAAAGAATAGATCAAAGATATGACCCGGCCGAAGGTGAGGAAAAAGCTGGCCAAAGGGGGTTTGGAGGCAAAGGCCCCAAAAAAAATTTCCCCCCCTATAGGAAAATCTTGGATACGCCACTGGAATTAGTACAGCTTACATTTATATTTATTCTAGGGGGCGGCTAGGAGCCGAATTTTGGTCATAGTCTGAAGAATCCGTTATCTTAAGTAAAATCAAAACAAAAGATATATTTCATTAATTTTTTTCAGTAAAATGTATTAAACGATGTAATAACATCTCTATTTCGTTTTTATGCTTGCTATTTTTGTTTTATTAATTGCAAGGTAACTAGACAGGGATCTCTTTTGTTAAAAACATAATTTAAATTAAATATATTCTATAAAATTTATACAATTAGCAAAAAAAATACAAAGGGCACTAGTGTTTTTATTTAAACAAATATATATAAATTGATAAGAAAGACAAAACAACATGTTATACAAAATAAGAATTTTAATTTGAATAAATTAAAAATTAATTAAAGTAAATTTAAATATTAATTAAAATAAATTAAAGCATTAATTTAAATAAATTTAAATAATAATTATAATAAATTTAAATAATAATTATAATTGATTTAAATAGTAATTTTATAATAAATTTAAATAAATTACAACAATTATAAAAATATAATATAATAATATATTATAAAATTAAATTTAAATTAAATTAAATAAATTACAACAATTATGAAAATATAATATAAAAATATAATATTTAATTAAATTAAATAAAATAAATTATAATATTTATTAAAATAAATTATATTATAATATGAATTAAAATAATTTTATAATATGAATTAAAATAATTTTATAATATTAATTAAAATAATTATAATATACGAATTATAAAAAAATTTTTTTTTTATCTTTTAAACTTTTTATTATATTAACGAATTAAAAACGTATGCAATTTACAATAAAAGGATAACTGTAATGTAATAAAAAAAAGAGAGATAGAACATGAGGAGGTGCTGCATCTAGACTATAGCAAAATGGATTAAAATGCTATGCGACCTACATTCCATTGAGATACGTTGGCTTAGGTAAAATTCTTGAGGGTCCCCTAAAATTAAGAGCATTCTTTGGCCGAGTGCCTTGAAAAATTCAAATGCTTTAGATCCAAAAGTACCGATTGTATCAGAATCAATCGGGGTTAGAGTAATATTGAAAATGGTAATCCTAACTAAGGAATTAGAGCAAAATTAAAATAATTTATAATAATTATGATATTCAAATGACTTTTTATAAAATGTATCGCGATTTTTACTAACTTATTTTATTTTATTATATATTCAAATTTATATTCTAAAATAATATTATATAAAGTGGGAATTTTTGTACATAAAAAAACGCAATATAATTTTTCATTTTAATTTAAAAAAATAGTTTTCTTAATCTTTACTTGCCAATTGTCAACATGTGTTCTGTACTTGCCAGTTGCCAAACATGTGTTTCCAACACAGAATAATATAAAATATAAGTAGATAAAATAGATCATGATTTTTGCGTTATTCAAATTTTTTTAATTTTTTAAATTTGGATTGATACAACATTCAACTCTTTAAAGGTTTCTAAAATCGATTTCCTTAAAATTTATCTTAAATAGGTAAGCATAATTACTCAATTTATAAATAAAGACTCATCAAATTGTCAATAAAATTTAATTCAATTTATAGTCAATGACCTTGAATAAATAAAAAAAATTATCAATTAGATGGGAAAAGATTAAGGGAGGAACTAATTTCCTTTAAAAGATTTGTAATATTTTGATCGTTGGTCTGAAAAAAGTATGGATGCTATATTTTTAAAAAATGTTATTACATCTTTTAAATATTAGGATAATGCTAAAGATGGTTGTGATAATGATTAAATACTAAGGATTCCTTATCTGAATTCATTATTCATTATAGCGGTGTACTATATATTTACCATTCATTCATTATTACACATGGCCTATATTTATTGAAAAACTGACAATGCTACTTTTGAAAAAAATTTTAATCACTGATAATATTCATCAATCATGTGCTGATATATTGTCAAAGTTGGATGTAGAAATTACCGTAAAAAATAAGATTAGCAAAGCAGAGCTCTTAAGCATAATTAATGTATTATTTTAATTCTTAGCTTTATATTAAAAAATATATTAGGAATTTGATTGCCTCTTAGTTCGATCTGCTACAATCGTTGACGCCGATATTATTAATATGGGGAAAAATTTAAAGTTGATTGGCCGCGCAGGAACAGGTACTGATAATATTGATGTAAAAGCAGCTACTTTACATGGTGTTATTGTCATGAAGTAAAAATTAATATATTTTACATTAATTACTAAGAAGTTATGAAATTATTAAGAAATAATTTAATTATTCTTTTATAAATAGAGTTAAATATATGTTTATTAAATTTAACAATGATATTTATTTTTATTTCTTTAAAGCACCCCCAATGGTAATACATTTAGTGCTGCAGAACATACATGTGCCTTAATTATGTCATTATCAAGGTATTTTATCATAGTTTGACATTTTAATAGGATTGATGAATAATAAATAAAAGTGGTGTAACAATCTCAGGACCTAGTTACAAACTTTTTCAGTAATTTTTTGGGGGAGGGGCCATAGTTAAATTTTATATGGTCTTTATTTAAATATTATTATGCTAAGTGACTTTAATATTTAACAATTAGGCAATCTTATTTATTAACACCCCCCCCCCCTCTATTCAAATGTTGAAAACCAATTTACTTATAATATAAAAGTCATAATAAATCAATAATAATCATTTACAATTTTGCCATTTTAGAGTTACATTATCTTTAAAGTTGAGTTATATTACATAATTAATGATTTGAAGACAAGCAACATAAAAATAAAATTTTTATAAAATTCCCAGCTTCTATACCTCCCATGGCAATAATAATATCACTCCCCTCAAATTTATCCTTCCCCCAATCCAATTCTACAATATTAAAATTAGCGCCTAAAGAAAGAAATCCAAATTTTATTCAAATATTTCAATGATGATCTTGTGTCTAACCACACCCAGTTGTGGTAGAAGTCCCTGGAGATTCCAAATGCTTATTAATATAGATACATGATCTAAAAAGCCCCCAGTGCACTGCCTTTGCTAGCATGGTTATCATTCCACCAGGAATTATTGTTTTTATTTTAAATAACAATCTTTTAATATAATCCTTAAGTACTACTGCTAGGAAAAAATTATTTTTTCATATAAAAAAACATCTTTATCTTATTTAAGGATTGTAAAAAAATAATTAAAACTTGAGGACTCCAAATAATGAAATATATATTAGTATTAGAAGAACTTAAACAAAATCTGGAAGGTATTATTTTACTTACTTTTTTGTTACAAACCTATAGAAATATACCCAGCGCTGTCGAATCAGTGAAAAATGGCAAATGGGAAAGGTCAAAATTCATGGGAAATGAACTAAGCGGGAAAACGCTAGCTATCATTGGTTTGGGACGAATAGGTAGGGAAGTTGGTACCAGGATGGCTTCATTCGGAATGAAAGTTTATTTTGTGACTATATATTTTTGTTAGAGGTTTGTTTGTTCAAGGATCTTTTAATTTAATCCAAAAAGTTATGAGGTAGATTGTAAATATCTCGAAATTAGAACACTTTTTTATTACCCATGTTAAAATATGTAGTGTTGTTAAACGTTACCTTTAGAAGTAACACAGCTACTCTATTTGATTAAAAAAAAATTGTGTAATATCTCTACTTTGTAAAATATTTTTTATATATATTATCTATTTCCACAAACTAATGTTTCAAATTCAAACATGTAAAACAAAAATATTACTCAACATTTAAAATATATTCTTTATTTTTGCTGCATTTTAATAATACCATCTTTATATTATAATTTCCAAGTTTATAGCAACAATAGAAAGTATAAGCTTTGCCTTACTAAATAATTGCTGAACACTATGACTTGAGAGAAATGCAGTATTTTATTTTATTTTATATATGAAAAATTATAATACTCTCTAGAGTATTATTTATTTTTAAAAAAAATCCTCCACAGTAGATGACATTCTTGATATAATGATATTATATTTTCGGTTGGTATACGATTACCATCTATTTAGTTGCCCTTTGGATCCTCTTAAATTAAAGTCCAATTCAACTTGAAAATAAATAATGGCAGATGGTACGTTATCACAATCAATCTTGAATTTTAAAAGATTTATGGATTTCTAAAATAAAATTTGAGAGTACATAAGTCTGACATCAAGCCTCCTTTTTAGGGTTTATACATCAGATCTTCATTTTAATGTCTTGACATCTAGCCAATGGCGAGCCTCCTAAATATGTTCTAAAAAAATTAATATCAGATTATAATTAAAAAAAGTAAATACTATATATTACTTTCTAGTATGGAGTCCAATCTGCTTTTATGTAGATATATGAGGCATCTGATCTAACTCCAGAATTCTTGCCATCAATGTCGCTGGCAAAATGTGTTTTGAGATTTTAGACCAAGGAAATTGGCTGAACTGTATCAATTATAAAATTATTTGACTTTAATAGCCAGTTTTTGAGAAGCGCCTCGTACTGATGTTGTAGAATTGCTATTTTGGATGCAGCATCTTCTAGTATACCATAACTATTGAGATACTTTCAATTCTCTCTGAATGAGATGTGGATATTCTAAATTTAAAGCAGTAATACTTTTATCTGTATTTTTGGTTAAAGCTGCTTGATTTATTGGACGATTATCCTCCGATATTTTATACATCGAAATTTAAATCATATACTATTTTTTTAGTGAATTCAAAATATTTCTCAAATTTTGGATAAGGAATTACACAATACAACGCGATACTTTAGCAACTCTAAAAATATGCCTTAAGTAGTAATTATTAATTGCCGAAATTGTGTTCGAATCAGTGGTATCGCTATCTTTTATCATTTACACCCAGTAGCATAAACAAGAGGGTGGGGGTGGGAGTTTGAAACACTTCCCATGGAAAATGTGATTAATTAATTTTTGTTTTCAATACTTATATATTAATATCTAGAAAAAATTACTTACAATCATTTTTATAAAATTGATAAAACATTCTCTTTAATTTTCTTTCTATAAAATCATCTCAGAAATTTAGTGCATGAAAAAAAAAAAAATTTTTAATAAAATTTCGCATTTAAATGAAAGTGCTATATATCAGAGACCTTCAGAGGTACTATTTGCACGGCTCGGCCCAGATTTTTTTTAAATATTTCCGCCCGGCCTGGTTTTGTATTTTTAGGCCCGGCCCGGCTCGGATTTTTTTAAAAGGTATTAAATTTATTTTTAATTTTGATATTTAATAATAGCGATTCAGCCCGACCCCGGTTTAAAAAAAATTATTAGACCTGCCCGGATATATTTAAAAAATTAAAATACGGCGGTCCGGCGGAACTCTGATATATATATTATAAAATAAATTGAAAGCCGGGACTTTTTTTAAAGACGCTATAATTTACGTATTAGATACACCTTTTCTATTTCTAAGTGTAAAAACGCAAATAGTATTATTATTATTTTACTGAACAATCGCTCAACATTAGCCCAAAAAATTATCTATTGTAATTTTTTCGATTTTACCATCCATCTTATTTTGTTTTAACATTTTTCTAAAAATGCCACAAGTCTTATTTGACTACATTTAGGCTACCCTACAGTCTGAGACATCGAGTCTCATGTTAAAATACTGAAAGTAATTTTTATTTATATTTGTTGCTTATTTCTCTTTGATTTTCAATTTAAATATATAAAATTTAGGGGGTGTTGTGCATAAATAAAGAAATATTTTAATAATTTAAAATTAACTATATAAATATATAAGATACTCAATGCTTCTATAATCTTGGTTCACATTATGCCAATCTTGACAATTTTTTATTATATAGCCAAAAGTGCGTTTATCTTTAAATTATTTACCAAAAGGGTTGATGATATATCGCTAACGCTAGTCATTGATATAAATTTCACAATTAATGCTTCCAGAAGTTTGGATGATTTCATGCATCTTATTTTCCATGATGCTAATTTTATTATCAATATCTTTACCCCCCTCCTCCCTTATTTTAACCATCTATCATGCAGATTAAAGCAATAAAATATATTTTTCACAAAAGCTTGGCTCATTTCATGCATAAAGAGTGACGTCATGGTTATTATTTATCACAAAACTGATCCAGGAATTAAAAAGTACTAGCCTGGCATTAAATATAAGCGCATACCAGACATTTATTTTTTCTATATTTTTCAATTTTGGCAATTTATTTCTTATTTTGATAATAACTTTTTTTTCTTTACACTACGAAACTGATTAAATTAATATATCATTTAAGCACTAAGGCCGTATCAACGCTCGTATTATTTTTGAAACTTATTTATGTTTAGCATAGGCTATTCAGCTTTTTAGCTATAATGTCCATCGTTTAATCCATTTTTTTAAATGTGTTTTAATTGTTCTTAATTTTTGTTTAGCATAGGCTATTCAGTCTTTCAGCTATGACATCCTGCTCTGTTTTTTGTTTAAAAGAAGACTTAATAACCATCGATTAAACCATTTTGGGGGAGGGGTGATTAATCCATTTTGGGGGAGGGGTGATTAATCCATTTTGGGGGAGGGGTATATTCAAATAGAGTGAAAATTAAGCAAATGGCGAATTTTAGAAATAAGTAGAGTATATAATATTATATTTTTTATAATAAAGTTAATTGCTATGCTCCAACATTCATAATTATGTTTTTTTTATATAAAAGTGTTTCCATACACTGATGCTTTATAGCAAATAGATTTACAACTTAATTTTTTATTGGATGAACTTATAATATATCGAAATGTAAACCACTTTTTTTTAAAAAAATAATTCATATACCTCAATTGTCTTGATATCAGGCTAGGTATTTGATAAAAATAAAATATAGAAGAATTGTTTAGCCTTTTAAATTTTTTTATCGTCTGCTTCCTATTTGTGATTAATTTTAAAATTTTTATAATGGCTACATAACTCTTATTAAACTTTACCACCCAGGACGAATATTTTTTTTAAGACTTACATAGGTCTTATTTATTGATATGCACATGTAGCTTTATTTAGGAAATTAAATGAATTGCGTTAAAATTAAATAGCCTCTTTTTCATTAGGCTACTTAGAGAACATTAAATAACCTGCTAAACCCGAGAACTGACACGGCCTAAACATTGATAAAATTTTTAGAATCTTGTTTCAGTTCTTTTTAAATAGTGAAATTTACCAGGTTTTATTGTTACCGCGTGGCACTAATAAAGCACAAAATATTGGCATAGATTTTAGAAATAGTACATCCAAAATAAACAGAAAAATCAAAGATTATACCTCATTTAAAATATATTTTCATGGATGGGGTCCAGCCGAATCCCTAAAATAAGGGTATGGGGATAAGGCCACACCCCCAATGAGAACTATCCCAGGATAAATCCTAGCTACATCAGTGTTTACACCTGCTGGGTCAATTATATATATCATTATTCAAACTATTATTTTATAGTTCATATTTTACGATAATAATAATATGAAAATTAAATTAAATTAAAATGAATGTAGTGTAATTTAATTTGAATAAAATATTATCTCAATAATTTGAACGTTTCTTGGGAATGGGATACAAAACTTAGCTTACATATTTTTTATTAATGGTGGTTGGTATATGATTAATCTTGACCTAATATAAAAAAAATTTAAGCTTATAGGGCATGATCCTATGATTAGCAAAGATTTCGCCAAGCAGCACGGTATAGATTGGTTAGAATTGAATGAAATATGGCCGCTGGCAGATTACATCACATTGCATACACCACTTATACCACAGACAAAAGGTTTATAAGCGAAATTCTTTGTATATTTAAAAAAAATTATTTTATTTTTTCTTACCTTTTTAACTTTTAATAGTAGTTCAAATGAACCTGACTTATGAAGGTTAGCTGGGACAAATGACCTTCACTAGACCAAATGGAAGTGTCTAGTACATGTCCAATTCAATTATCCTTGGGAGAGGTCTAATTCTCTAAATAAGTGAATATTTGGCCTTTAAATATTAGTGTTGTTTGTAATATGTATTCTTTTAACGTTATAAACATTGATTAGATTCATTTTACCTTCTATTTTTCAAAAAAAATACCTATTTATCTTAAGATTTATTGAACGCGGAAACATTCAAAAAGTCTAAAAAGGGAGTAAAAATAGTCAATTGTGCCAGAGGTGGCATAGTTAATGAAGTGGATTTATTGAATGCTCTGAATGGCGGTATATGTGACGGTGCCGCTCTTGATGTTTACATGAAGGTAATAACCTAATGATGCCAACAATTTGGTTGGTTAATATAGTTTAACCTATTTAAATAGAATTTGGCCTTAGTTAAGCTCTCAATAGTAAGAAGCTTAGACAGATTTTATAATAAATGCAAATTTAGACCTTATAATATACGATATATCAAAAGAATGTAAAATTTTTAGGAACCACCTGAGATTGGAGATAAATTGATAGGCCACCCCTCGGTCATATGCACTCCTCATTTGGGAGCAAATACTGCCGAAGCTCAAATGAGAGTTGCAAAGGAAATGGCAGAAAAGATAACCGCGTTATGCCAAAAGAAGTCTGATGGCACCGATTCGACTAATATACAAAATTTGGATGGAATTGTTAGCACTTATTACATTATTTTATATTACATATAGTTTATTGGCTAAATAATATGTATAGTTCTCGAAAATGGCTTATATTCCATTTTTATGCAAAATGATTTTTTTTATCCTATTTAAAAAAAAATTATTCTGCAGATAAATGCGCCCAATTTGATGTGGGAATTCGGGACAGATAGCAAGCCTTGGATGAAATTGGCTTTCGATTTAGGCTACATGATCGGTACTATATTTGAACCTGTTAAGAAGTATCAATTGACCAACAATAACGAGAAATTTAGTAAGGGCAAATTCCCTGTCAAAATGATAGTCCATAGGTCATCATAACATAATTTTTATAGATATATGTTTATAATTTGATTACAGACATATTAAATCCAATTAACCCCATAATAGATATTTAAGAATAATTTGGATCAAATCATAAAACACATTTAGAGTTTTAAGGATATATATTTTTATACCATGTAATTGATATTCTTTCCTTCTGGACCAAATTTCTAGACTGCTAAATTTAGCTTCTTATTTCGTTAGTAAGATATAAATATATAGTATATCATAACCATTTGAATTATTATGGGCATTAACTTGGGGATAGGCATTAAGCGATAGGTAAATTTACCCTAAAATTTTGGGAAATAAAGTTTTAAATATAATTGAAAAGACAGTATAAGAAACTCATCCAATTTTATTAAGATTTTTTTAAATAAAAAAATTCTTAGGCAATAAATTGGAAAGCATGAAAGCCGCTTTACTTGATTCTTTCATCACGGGTATCATGAAGAATCACACCAAAAATGGACTGAACTTAATCAACGCTCCCCATATGTTCAAACAATACCCAGGGGTCAGTATTTTTTGTTTATTTGTTTGAAAATTTATAAATCATTGTCTCATTTATCTCCACTAAGCTTGAGAAAAGGCTAGGTATGTTTGGGTAAAATCAGTGTATGGTGGTGTAGATTCTGCTGTTGTTGCAAGGATCAGACAAGCTTGGAAGAAGTTCAGAGAGATGTCGTCTATTCTTACAAATAAAAAAGTTTCTCTGAAGTTAAAGGGGAAAGTTTACGTAAGCTGCGTGAGGAGTTGTTTAGTTTATGGCGGTGAAACATGGGCAATGAAAGCAATTCACGAAGCCAAATTAGAAAGAACAGAGATGAGGATGGTTAGATGGATGTGTGGGGTATCTCTGAGAGAGAGAAAAACTAGCAAGGAATTGCGAGCAAGATTAGGTATAGAAATGATTGGTATGGTAATGCGACGAAATAGACTAAGATGGTTTGGGCATGTGGAACGTATGACAAGAGATGACTGGGTAAAGAGATGCACAATGATGGAAGTAGGAGGATCAAGACCTAGAGGAAGACCCAAGATGACGTGGACAAATGTGATAGCGGCGGATATGAGAAGCTTGAATCTTACAAGTATTGATGCTCAGGACCGTCAAAAATGGAAAAGAAAAATCAGAGGGAAAACTAGCCTACCCGGGTAAACCTGGAAATCGCCATAAAAAGGAGAAGAAGAAGTGTTGGGGACCCGAATTAGGGTTCAGGAATTTGAAACTCTAAGACGATATTTTGATAAAATGAATTAAAGCTTTACCAATTTTCTGTAAGAGATTTGATCTCGCCCCGGGCCCATATTATCTCGGGATCGGCGGGTTGCCCATCAATCTGTCTCTGTTTCTGTCCTAAAATGTCCAACCAAGCAAGTTTAATAATCTGAACCCTAATTTGGGTTCACAGCCTTGGGTAAAATAAGTAGGCATGACTATCGTTATATATTTTTTATTATTAAAACTGTTACCCACGTTATTCATTTAACCTTGAATTATCTTGTATAGACTAAAACTAAACACCAGGTCCCTCACTATTACTATTATATTCACTGCTTTTTTTATATCATTATTAAAATGTGAAAGTGATACGTTCAGTATTTAAATTTCTTCAATTTATATGTTCGACTCAAACTCCTGAACAAGGCAATGTCTATCAATAACCTGATTTTTCATACCAATTTTTTTTGTGTTTTATACTGTGTTATCATCTTCCCATAAATAATGTAATTTCTAGGAATTTTATCTAACTTTCTTGATTTTTTTTCTTTCACACAATTTGGCCACTTGATACAACACTTTAGTCTATTTTTTTTACTCCACAAAGGAATTTGTCGCGAAATAGGTTCGTTTAACTCTTCAGGAATCGCATGCATCTATCAAATTATTTAAAAAATTAAATGATGGGAACCTTTTTAAAACTCCTTATTTACTCTTTATATGTTAACTCTCTCCAAAAATTTTGGAAATAAATGGCTTGAAATTATCTCCGCCCTTATTCATTTTTAGATATGCCTGATATCTTTTTTTTCTCTGGCCATTTTACGTGCGGACCTGGAACATTAATATGACGCCATATTTTGTGAAATCGAGAATCTTGATTTTTCTAACTCTGGTTAATATAATCTTTTCTGCTTCATTTTCCGTAATTTCCAACGAATCTAATATGTTCTAATTTTTAATTTAAACATTGCCATTATGGTATTTTCAATTTTATAGTCCTTAGACTTTAGAACAAACTAATGATATAAGTAAGCAATGTCATTTACGAAGTGATACATGCGCGTAACCAATGGGGGATCGCAAATTTGTCTTTTCTATTAAATATCTTAAGCTAATAAAAAATTTCCCCATTCACACCCACCTCTCCCCCTAAAATGTATACAATACATCATTATAGATTTGAAAAAAATATTAGTAAAAGTTAATAACTTTTTAGAGAGTGAAAACCCTATAATAAGGAGCTAAAGATCTATAATTAATTGTTTTATATATTCTTATTTGTCTTTTTTTGATGTATTTTATTTTGATATCTTTTATATTGTACTAATTTTTAAATTGAAACCTTTTTTTAAAAAAATAAATAATTTATTACGAATAAATTTAAAATTTTAATATTTGTTTTTAAAAAAAAAACCTATTTTATGCTATTATATAGTTTGCAATATATTTTACGATTGTAATTGTCTTTTTTAACCAAAAATATGTCAAATTCCATTCTAATTTTTTTTATGACGAAAATCATGAATTAACTTTATTATAAATTTCCCGTTTATAATTTACGTTTTTTAAAGAAAAAATAAATTATTTTTTAAAAATATTAAAAAATTCGTAAAGGCCAGGGAACATTCCGCCATAAAAAAAATGATTTACTAAATAATATTATTTCATGTTTTATTACGAGAATTTTAATGAAGAATTTAATGACGTCTTTAATTTGTAAAAATATAATATTCGTCCGATCTCAGAAGGCTGATTTGACACAAAAAAAACATAATTTTCAAGTGTATTATTAAAATCATTGATTTTAATTTAGATTTTTTTAAAAAAATGACCAAGGTTTTAAACTGGGAAATTATGAATAAATTTTTTTTAATATCATCTTATAGAGTGATACCTTTATTCATACTTGATATTATATATTTTAAATACGTATAAAAGTAAATGTTAAATATTTTTACAAATGTAAGAAGATTTTGAAAAGATAGGTCTCATTATTAAGATGCAAGACACGGTTACATACGTTGTTACGGATAATGCATAAAAACTTGGAAGATGAGGAATGTTGTTAGCATAAATTCTCATTTAGGAAATATCAACTAGATCTAAAGGTATGCGTCTTCAAAGTCGAAAATCGCGCAATGCGTGATTTCATTAAATCTTATTTATTTTTTTAAAAACACTTAAGATAGAGTTACATCATTTTATAGCCCTTAAAATTCTACATTGGAAATCAAAAGAAAAATTAAAAAGTTTCAAGTGTTTTCTTATTTCCGATAAAACCCATATATGCGCTTCTCCTATATTTAATCTACTTTATTGAAGGAATAAAAAGGGTAATAGATTAAATTAATTATTTAGAAATCATTTTATTATACTGCTCTATTAAAAAGGATCCTAGAGGTGGTAGACGGAACACGTTAACAGATATCTAAACTTATTTTAGTCAATGGTCAATACTTTATAATACTTGTGTAAAAAAATTTTGACAAATAAAGTTGCCAAAATATTATAAAGATCAGTCAAAGAGCTAATTTTAACAAAATCCTTGGATGTATTACCTAAAAAATTCATAGAACATATCAGATTATGTCGAAGAATGACTGGCATACTTGGTATTAATATTTAAACACCAGACCAAATCTGAGAGCTTTAATTAATGTCTTCGCTTTCCACATTAGTGGAGATCTTAAAATAGAATTTTTTACTGGTGATAATGCAAAAATAATCTTAATCTATAACCAAACCTTTGGCATAGCTGCTTCTGTAGAAAACATGGCTTCCTCATTTGGCTTAATCCAATTTTAGAAATCGACTATAAAAAGTTTAAAAATTATTTTTCTTTTTAAATATTTATAAAAAAAAATCATATATTTAATTTGTTAGTTGAAAATTAAATTACTTTTTAGAAAGAAATATCAAATAAATTTCAAACAAATTTAATATAATAATTTAATTTTTAAATTAAGATTTTCACTCATTAAACTGCTAAAAAATAAGTTTATAAATATTTAAAAAATATATGTGGTAAAATGTCAAATGAATTTGTAAATGCTGACTTTGATAATTATTATGTTTAGTTGAAATAAATTTTTCATGATTATCAAATTGATTTTTATTTCCCACACCTCCTGGTTTTTACCACTCATTTAAAACTAGTGAAAATTAGCTGTCCGTATATATAGATCTTAGGCATTGTCTATTTGACCTCGCATATTCTTCTCCATTTAGTGGCGATTTCAGGTTAGTCAGTTTCCCCTCTGATTTTTCTTTTACATTTTTGACGGTCCTGAGCATCAATATTTGTAATTCATTTTATCACCTTTATCCACATCATCAGACCTTGCTCTAGGTATTGATCCTCCTATTTGCTTCAAGGTGCATCTCTTTACCCCATGTCTTACATTCCACATGCCCAAACCATCGTAGCTTTTTTCTTCGCATTACCTCTCCAATCACTTCTATTCCCATTCTTGCTAATTTTTCTCTCCCTCGGAGATACCCCACACATCTTTCTAATCATCCTCATCTCTGTTCTTTCTAATTTGGCTTCGTTGCCCACTTTCATATATATTATTGGGTAATCATATAGTTCGGCTCAGTTCACAGGCACGTGCTGTAGAAAAATCAGCTAAACATTGAGGCACGGTTTAATCATTTTCCAACTTTTTCCGAGGTTGAGTCATCCTTTCAATCATCCGAGGATTCGGTGATAGTTTTCCTGTAAAAACTCGATTTAGTTATACCGGTAAAAATGGCCAAAAATGGAGTTATTACCAAAGTATTAGGCAAAAATAGCTCTCCGGCCGATTAAAAATATTCTCAGTTTAAGAAAAATAAATATTTTTTCATTAATTTTCTTCTCTCCCAATCTTCACAGTTTTCCGATATAGTTTCCAGTATATTGATGGAAGCGCCGAAAGATATGCAGATTCATTACCCGACCAACGAGAACGCTCTGACAGCCTTGTGGATCGAAAAATCTCAATCACTCGATGATCATCCTTTTTCTATGCAAGCGGAAGTCATTAATAACCAGGGATATTTGGTCAATTTTTGTGGGAAGGAACTTGGACCCGACATACTTATAAACTTGTCGTCGACGAAGCTAGATGACAGCAATATGTCAAAAAAGTCTTTTAAGGGTATATTGATATCTAGGTCTATGCATTTTAGAGCCGATGACGCATTTTTGAAAGGTAATATGGTTTGTTTTATAATAAGTTTTTTTAAAAATAATATGGCTTCCATTTATCATATCGTCCAAAATATATTCTTTTTCATATTTATTAACTTTGGACCTCAAATTCTGATCCTTGTTTTTTATATATCTAGGGGTTTAGCAAATCTTTAAAACTTAAATCATTAATGGCGCGCTTTTTATATATTCATTTCGATTCTGGCAAAATCCTGTTTTTAAAAAACTCGCGTAAATTATTTAAGTTTTTAAAATATGTTAAAAAATCGCCTGCTACCTATAAAATATAATGTATGTATCCCTTGTTTGCTACAGAAATTCTCTCAAAATCGCAGAGTTGCGTCATATACGCGATACACGGTATCAACGACTCCGCGAAATCATTCGATGGAAGTGGCGGTATTGGTGACGCGAAAAAATTGTGGAAGATTATGAAATTAGATAGACCGTTACAAGTGACGGCGGGGATGGAAAATCAAAACTCGAGTCGTAATCTGCCAGACGGGGAAATGCTATACCATTTTTGAACCATCGATATTATTTTAGGACCATTTTTTTATAAAACCTTTTTTTAATACCATTTTATATTTTTATAAATCATGTCATCTACTTATAAAGATAAGAAATTATTAATAATCAAATATTTTTTTTAAAATATACCTCTATTTCAAAATTATTATAAACCGGTTAATAATATATTTTGCATTTATCTTTCCGTTGCATTTTATTATTATACAAATAATTACTTTTTTGATATTTTTAAAACAACTTAAAAATTTGATTTTAAAATAATCACGAACGAAAATTTTAAAAATATAATATACATATTTTTATACGAGTTGTATTTGTATCGCAAATAGAATTTCCTTTTTTATTATTAGTCGGATAAAAATGTCATTGGTAAGTATTTATATCACAGGTTTGACATAGTTAGTTTTATAACTGAAATAATGTATAATAATAGGGCAGTAAAAAGGGGAATTCGAATTAGGTGCTCTAATATTCACATTAAAACTAAAAAATAAATATCCTATTTAACGACATGCCTTTTTTTAAAAAAATAGTATTTAACAGTAACATTTCTACATATGCGAACTAAATTATACTATATTATTAATATAACTTAATTAATTAATATATAAATTATAAAAAAATCTTACAATAATAGAAAAAGAAAGATATAAAATAAAATTTGATAACAGTAAAGATAAAAAATGTTTTTTTTTGCAATTGCAAATATGTTTTCTTATCTATATTTTATTAAAGGCTATAATTAAATAAAAAATAGAGCATTTTGATATTTTTATTTATCACTTTAAAAAAAAATTATGAGTTCTGTCCCACAGTGATTGTGTTTTTTTTGGAATCTACGATCTATTAGATACGAACGCCAAATTGTCGCAATTCACGATTCTCTTCTTAAACTTGAAAACGTAGTTAGAGCAGCTGCCGCAGTAATTGGCGTAACAAACCGCTTTAGGATATTTGAAGCAGATTTTGTCTTCGCACGGATCAATCTCGCATTTGAATTTAGGTCTGGTCGGGGGACATTTCTTGAACCCACTTTCAACTAAAAAGAAGATACGCATTTGTTTTTTTTAAATTAATATTATAATTAGTAAAACTTATAGACTTTGTGCCCAAATTGTGATTTCTTTTTTTTACTTCAACCTAATGCATACTGATACATCTATCCTAACTTGATTGACGTTTTAAAAAAATCAGCAGTAAAATATTTAAACGAAAAAAATTAACTGCTGAAACCTTCCTTTTTAAACTCTTATTTTTATAAAAATAATCTTTCTTGTGCCTCGATTTAATCAATCGTGTAAAAATAACTGCCAGGAAAAAAAAATTGAGGGTATTTTTCTGGTCACCTCACTTTTTATAGGAGAATTATAACGATCAATAGATAAGAAAACACGAAATAACATTACCAATAGGAATGAAGAAACTTCCTGATTTTTTAAAAAAAATATTTACTAAATATAAACCCACTATTATCTAATTATATTCAGGGATGCGAGCCCGGACCCTAAACCCTGATATTTTGGCTGAACCCAACCTTGAACCAGGACCCCTTTAAAAGTGAAGAATTCAAGGGTTCTAGTTTAAAAAAAATAATCTTTAAATTCATGAAAAGAATTTTAAAAAATTTTTTCGAACAATCATTTTTTTATCTTTCCATTTTTCAAAATTTTCTGGTTTTTATATTTCCATTTCATAGGTAATTGTTAATTCCCCCCCCCCCCCCCCTCCCAAAAAAATAAATAATTGCCTGCTCTCGTAAATATCATTTTAATCTAATAAAAATTTCCCCACTTCATATCCCATACCCCACAAAAATGTAAAAAATATATCGCGATAGGAAAAAATATGATAGAAAAAATTAGTAAAAGTTAATAATCAAATAGTGACTATAAAATCAAAATTTTTAGAAAAAAAAAACATTTTTATAAAGAAAAAGTGCAAACCCAAAATTATTTTTTTATAAAAATTGAATATGGCTAAAGTCCTACAATTAATGGCCCTAAAGATCTCTAATAAAATTTACGGGCAAAAAAACGTCACCTAATAGTGCCCCCTCCCTCTTAAACAAAAATCCTGGATACGCTTATGTTTTGTAGTGTAGGTTAATATTTTATTATAAATGATATTTTAAGAAAGATTATGCTATTAAATAAAACATTTTAAAATTTTGTTTTTACTTGTAAATTATGAAATGTATGTTTATTATGGAGTAGGAAAAAAGATTGCCTAATTTTGAGTCATTATTTTTTTTATGCTCTCCAAACCCCGTATCCTGAACCCGAACCCTTTATTTCTAAATTTTTTTCCGGACCTTTATAATGTCAAATGGTTCACATCCCTGATTATAATTAATATTTTTAAAGGAAATTTATGACTATTTATCAATTTTATAACTCATATCTTTTTTTTTAAAAAAAATCAGCTTTTTTTATATATGAAAATTAAATTTATTTCAGGGACCCGGAACAATGACATTTTTTGCGTTCCTATTAAGTTCTCATTCCGGCCAATATAATATGTTCCGTTTCATGTATTTATATACCATTAACTAAGGCTGTTAATATAAATTTTAGTGTCGAAAAACACATATTACTTGATTAAAATATTTATCTATTATATTTAAAAAACTTTTATTATACAACAAATTTCATGATAAACAAAATTCTTAAAATCACATAAATATGTAATAATCTTGTTTAAATGTGAAGATAATTAAGAAAATAAAAAAACGATTATTTATGAATTACTTACATATGATTATCTAATAAATTAAATTTTAAATATTTCGGAACGTTCTTGGGTTCAGGGTTTAGTTCTTTACATGTTATTCCATTGTTTTCACCAAGTTACGTTCCATGTCCCTCATTTTATTAATTTAATTTTGGGGTATTTTCAAGGAAATTTTTTTGTTTTATATTTATTGTATTTTTTACATCCATAACTATACTGCTTTACGATATTTCCGCCTATATAACCATAATGAAAAATTAATTTTAAGCATGATACACCTATTGCTACACACTTAACCAATCCAGTTTTTCCGAGAATTGATTTATAAAAACTGTAATGTTATGAAGACTACAAGATCAAAAATTATTAGTGTAACTTTTAAAAAATGAAATTTAACGATATAAGTAACTAGTTACTTTTTAAGTTACCTTTAAAATATGTTAAATATTTATAATATTTCCATTCATTATATTTTTAATGATGATTTCCTCAATAAATGACATGTTTATTTATAAATGTTTCAACCATAACTTATATTAACATAGACTTCTCAGCGCCCAATTTTATGTTATAAAAACATCATTTGGAATCTTGTCCTAGCAATGGTGTTTTTCTCAAGTAGATCCCCTCCTGAGATTCCAATGCCGCAATTTCTACCTGGGGTATTTAGGGAGTAATTTCTTAGTTTTAAACATTTTATAATCACCAAACTTATTTCCTGGACTAATATATAAGAATAGAATAGGCGTTGAATTATCTAATTAGGGTATAACTTGTCTAATTTCGGTTCTTAATAATGCGTCTATTTGACCAAAATTTTGAGTCACAATCAAATTCCTATTAACTACTATTAGAAAAAAAGGTATTGAGGAACTGTCTTTAAATTGGGCAAAATTCTTGGTTCCAACAGTGTTCAAATTAGATAGATTTTACTGCATATAGAGTATAAATAATTTGTTATTGTTTGATTCACATGATGGATCCATCAGCATCTGTTTTCAAAAATGAAGGTTGATTTATTGTTTTTTACCAGTACGCGTACCCAATTATGGAAAAATAACTAATAGTAATATCTCGATGAAATAGTTGGTAAATAACTAATAAAAGGTGGATAATCGATTGGGTGGAAAAATATGTTGGGAATAATTCTCGACTAATGGAAATATGAATGGTTATTCCTCATTTCTAGGTGACAAATAGTAAATAAAAATTCAAGCAAAAATTGTCTAAAATTTATAAGACGGGTGATTCTACAAATGTTGGAATATATTTCCGAAAATCTCTATATAGAGGATTTCGTCAAAAACTTGCTCCGTTTAAGTTTGGGAATTCCGGAAGGTGTTCCTAGAAAAAATTAATTTTATTTCTATTATACAAATTCTATACCCATCAAATCTTTATAAATATAAAATCAATCACAGCCATTAATATTTATATATTGTTTTATAATCTTTAGAACACGCAAGTTATTTGAAGCTGTTGTTCCTTCATACTCGAACTACGAGATACTAATTATTAATAACACACGCGGTCTGATGTTAACCCCCTGGAATATGGAAAAACACATGTAATATTGGGATTTTATATGTATTGACATTTTTGCCACATCTAATAATTACGATACATTAGGTGGTATACATGGGGAAAAAAAGAAATCCCAAAAATATTCACATCTAGCCAACAACAATATCTACATACCCATTATTGAATCAACAAATAAATCCTTAATCAAACTAATAAGGCAAAAGAGCCCTAAAAACGACAATCTCTAGAGCCCTTAATTAATCAAACAAAATATCAAAGAAATTCCTGACTTTACCCAGAAATAGTGTTCTTAAAAAAGCCCGATTTGTGTCGATTTTTAAAAACAGCCCGATCAAGATTTGGCAAGTAGGAGCCCAAACCTTTCATGAGCAAAATAACTAGGCTTACAAAAATATTATTTTGGTTATAATCTTAATTATTTTATACTTAGGGTGCGCGTCTAAAGTTAAATTTTTTGAAAAATAAAAACAAATGATTCACGCATTTATATTTTATACGTTCAAACTCGATTTCGAAAATTTCAATTATTAAATTAAAATCATTTTTTTAAATAAAATTTTATGAATCGTTTTAAGGCGGATGTACCCTTCATTCTAAGTGTTTTTCTGAACTTACTGAAATCCCCATTCCCGTTCCATAAAATATGTTCAAAGTTTTGTTCCAGGTCCCTGATAAAATTACTCTTTCCATAAGATGTGTAATGTGTTTCTTTTCCAAAAAATCTGTTTATTTTTTTTTGAACACTTCTTTTTTTAAATTTGAAAAACATCTGGTTTTGACGGTAATTTATTCTAGAATGTCTAGAATGCATATCCTATATATTTTAGACAATTTCGCTTTGAAACAAAAGAGAGAAACAAGCAGGCACGCAATCAACGAACAGTTTCTACCAAAATTAATAATA